TGCCCCAGTATCGCACGTGGGACGCGTGGTGCGCAGGTTTGCGCGCTCGATTTGAGCCAATTGCGGCTTCGATCTCGGCGCGACAGAAGCTCCGCACTTGGCGCCAACTCGGTTCCGTCCAGGATTACACGAGCGGATTCCTGGCGCTATGCGAACAGGTGGGCTACATGCATGAGAGCGAGCGCATCGACCGCTACATCGGCGGCCTGAAGCAGGACATCGCTCAGGAAATCCAGCTTCGCGGCGTCACTGAGTTTCAGGAGATTCTCGCTATGGCAGAGAAGCCCGACTTCTTTCGCCGACCGAGACCGGGGTCCTACGGAAACAACAACTGGGGACATCGGCCTCGTGGGACGAACGAGAGCGCCACGATACGCGCCGTCGCCGCAAATGCCGCTGCCGCACCGTTCAAAGGGCGCTGCTTTGCGTGCAATCGGCCGGGACATCGCAAGAGCGAATGCCCGGAAAACGCTAAGGGAAAGGGGGAAGCTGAGCAGCAGACACAGACCAAGCAGCAGGGAAACGCTGGAAGTCAGTAGCAGACGGGCCCCCTACTGACAGGTCACGCCGCTCGCCCGACCCAACCGACCCTCACCGAGTGATTGTGCCGGTTCACGCAATCGACCACACCCGGCCGAATAAGGAGGGTACCACGGTAGACAGCCCTATACTGCTCAGTGGGAAAATTGGGACGGACTTAGTTAAAATCTTCGTAGACGGGGGAGCCAGCCACAGCCTCATTAACACTGCAACACCACGGAAACTGCGACTGCCACTGAACAGATGCTTACCTGAGATCGACGCACGACTGGTAGACGGCACGCCGCTGGCAATACGGGAACGCGTAGACCGAGTTCGGATTCGATGCGGGGGTAACTTCACGTTTAGCCAGGAAATGCTCGCAACGACCCTCGACGGAACCGACATTTTACTCGAGCGTGATTGGCTGCGACGACACAATCCGCGAATTGACTGGACGACGGGTGACTGCACCGTGCGAGTGAACGGTAACAACACCGCCTTACCTCGCTGGGGCTCGCCTGGATCTTCGCCGGTGCGTGTCAATGCGATCACGATGAAACGCGCTGTAGCGGCCGGAGCTGACGTGTACGCGGTTGACATTCGGGAAGCCGAGGCAGCAGACAAGGGAGGAGATTTACAGAAACTGCTGACCGACGTACCGGGTGATCTGGCGGCACTGTTAACACGGTACGGTGACATTTTCCCGGACGACCTACCGACGGGACTGCCACCTCAGCGACCGCACGATCACAGGATAGAGCTGGAACCGGGGGCACAGCCAACAGTACAGCGACAGTTCCGACTGACCCAACCCGAACTAGACGAACTGAGGAAGCAGCTCGATTACCTGCTCGAGAAGGAATTCATTCGCCCTAGTTCGTCGCCCTTCGCCGCACCCATACTATTCACACCAAAAAAGGAAGGGGGTTTTTCGCATGTGCATCGACTACAGGGCACTGAACAGGGTTACCATCAAATCCCGTTACCCCATCCCGCGAGCCGACGAACTGATCGACCAACTGCGCACAGCCCGGGTTTTCTCGAAAATTGACCTCCCGGGAGGCTACCACCAAATCCGCGTCAACCCACCCGACTGCCCTAAAACCGCATTCCGAACACGCTACGGATCCTTCGAATACACCGTCATGCCATTCGGACTGACCAACGCCCCGCCACCTTCCAAATGACCATGAACGAAGCATTTCGCCCGCTTTTAGATAAATGCGTCATCGTTTATCTGGACGACATTTTGATTTACAGCCCTGACAGAGCACAACACTTACAAGACATCGAAGCAGTTTTTCAAATCCTAAGTGAGAACCGTCTACTGACCAAAGCATCTAAGTGTGAGTTTTTACAGGACCGCCTGGAGTTTTTGGGACATGTTATCTCAGCTGCGGGAGTGGAAATAGACCCGAAGAAAATTGCGACGATTCAGGCGTGGCACGCGCCGACCAACCTGACCGAGTTGCAGAGTTTCCTGGGGTTCGTCAACTACATGCGCCGGTTCGTCCCCGACATGGCAAAGCTGACTGCCCCGTTGACTGACCTGCTGAGGAAGGGGGTTGAGTACACGTGGGGGGAGAAAGAGCAAGCTGCCTTCTCGACCCTCAAAAATATTTTGTGCTCCCCGCCCGTCCTTCGCATTGCAGATCCCCACCGTCCGTTCGAGCTCGTCACCGACGCAAGTGACATCGCTGTGGGAGCAGTACTGTTGCAGGACTTCGGGAACGGCCTCCAACCAATCGCGTACGAGTCCCGCAAGTTACACCCGCCCGAACGCAACTACCCGATACACGACCGCGAAATGATGGCGATCGTGCACGCGTTCAATGTTTGGCGGTGTTACCTGACTGGCGCCGACGTGACAGTACAAACCGATCACCGCTCACTACAGTACCTTCGCGCCCAACCGAATCTCAACCCACGACAGATTCGCTGGTTGGACTATCTTGAGTCCAATTTTCACTACACCGTTACGTACAAAAAAGGCGCATCCAACATAGCCGACGCTCTCACCCGCCCCACCGCCCAGCTCCACGCCATCCTACTCGCCCAGACCAACCCGCTTTTAACTGGCCTATTCACCCACGGATACCGCATCGACCCATTCTTCACGACCGGGAATTCACAGCAACTGGCAGAAGCAAAAGGAGTTTATTATGTTAAAACAGGCACCAACATCATTTGGGTACCAGCGTACTCACTACTGAGGGAGCTGCTACTACAGGAGGCACACGACGGGATTACCTCGGGACATTTCGGGGTAGAAAAAACACGACAGCAACTGCAGCGGTACTATTACTGGCCGGAGCTGTTGACCGACGTACAGCAGCACGTGGGCTCGTACCCTACGTGTCAGGTGATGAAGAGTTCAAGGAAGCGGAAGGCGGGTCAATTGCAGCCGATCCCACCGCCCGAACGCGCCTGGCAGCAAGTAACCATGGACTTCGTCACAGGGTTACCTTCGAACCCTGGGGGTAACGACGCGGTGATGGTCGTCGTGGATAGGCTGACGAAGATGGCACACTTCGCTGCATGCAAAAAGTCGATCTCAGCCGAGGAGACCGCTCGCCTGTTCATCGCAGCCGTTGTTCGCCTGCACGGGATACCAGCAGCAATTATCAGCGACAGGGACACGAAGTTTACCAGCAACTTCTGGAAGAACCTCTGGGAGCAGTTCGGAACCAGGCTACAGTTCAGTTCGTCGTACCACCCCGAGACCGACGGCCAAACGGAACGGACGAATCAGACGATGGAGCAGTTGATTCGTGCCACGTGCGACGACCCCACGACCTGGGAGCAGCAGCTGCCGCTGATCGAGTTCGCGTACAACAACGCCACATCAGCCACGACGCAGCAGTCCCCGTTCTACCTGAACTATGGGCAAAACCCCACAGTGCCCATGACGCCGAGTCCGGACAACCCAACGCCACGTGCACAACAATTCGCCGAAGTCCTGCAAGCTGCCCGCGCCAGAGCCGCCGAAGCAATAAAAAAGGCCAACGTCATCGCTAAGCGCAACGCTGATCGCCACCGCCGCCCTGTCACGTACCAATCTGGAGATTACGTGTTGCTCGACACGCAAAATCTGCGACTGCCCGACGTACCGAAATTACGACCGCGCTACTGTGGACCATTCCAAATCAGTCACATGATCACATCCGTCACCGCACACCTACTGTTGCCAACCGACTGGTACATCAGCCCGTCGTTCCACGTCAGCCTACTTCGCCCATACATCCCGACCACAAGTCAACTGCCGCGTCACCGCCCACAATCAATGACTCGCCCTGCATCGGAGCCGATCATCGAGCCCGAAAAAATCCTGAGCCATCGGATCCGCCACCCCACGGGAATCAGGAGGATTGAATTCCTCGTTCGCTGGAAGGACCGCACGCCAACTAAAGACAGCTAGGTGCCCCTACCCAACATCGAAAACCACTCTGCCCTGCAAGTGTACCTGAGGAGCCGGGGATTCCGCGATATACACGCACTCGCGTAGCGGAGGGGGCTTCTTAAGGGGGGGGTAGTGTAAGGAATTTTCTCGGCATTCCTTACGGAGCCGACTACATCGCGTACAGCAACAGCCGATTGTTCGCCCGTTACTGCTAACGGAACTTCGCCGACTTCGCGCGCACTGTTTTGCCAAACCTCGCACTGCTGGCATGGCCGTATCGGCCTACGCTTCGGGACTAGCCCGAGCCTCGCTCCAGCGTAGCACTAGCAAGCTCGCACGCACCGCGTTACCGTTTTGCATGTTTCGCGTATAAATGTTCGCTCATGCCTTCGCTCACATTTTGTACTCGTTTGACACCTTAGTGCAATTCTCGCTACCTCGATTCATTGCACCCGTAACAGTTTTCCACAAAGGCCCGCAGCGCGCTTTTTTTTCACTGGGACTCTAATCGAGAACATTTGTACGACTATGTTGACTCGATTCTTGTATTATGAGTAATGTGGGGACAAAACGTCTTCCGCACGGGGTGGCAGTGCCACCCACGGCAACAGTGCCGCCGTACCTGCTCGATTGGTTCCTGCGAGGACGTACGGCATCCGAACCAAACCAGCTAGGGGCTCTCTCCCCTCCTTACCTTACCGAACCAAACCAGCCAGCTTGGATTATAAGCGAGCGTACGCCATGACCCATGCATGAATCAGGAGTCCGCGATCCTGTGTTCGTTCCTTGCACAGGAAACTCGTTTGCTGTGTGTGTACTTCAATTAGCGATCAGCATTTTTCCATCAGCAGTTTTTTGTTCTGTTTCCTGGTTCTGCTAGTAGCTCTGTCAGTGCGGAGCCATGGCGTCGACGAAGCTCGCGTCGCCGTCAAGCATTTCTCTCCTCGTTCTCATCGCCACCTCCGCACTGCTTTCCTCCGGGTAGATATTTTGGATCAATTAAGATCTTTCAAAGTTTCTCGCCTTCCTTCGTTTGCCTACTCTCTGTATTTTCTTGACAGTACCTTTCGTCTTTCAGGTGTTTGGCTCAGAGCACCATGAACGCGAATTTCACCACCAACTTATTCGGAGGTTACTTGCGCGTTGATGTCGGACCCAATCGCAATCAGATCCGCGTGCAGGTTAGTTCCTTCGGTTCGTTCGTTGATTCGTTCGGTCGTTTGTTCGTTCATAAAGTTCGTTCGTCAGTACGGGATTTGGTCGGATGGTTCGTTCAATTGTGCTGCGTCGTGATCGTGTCAGGCCCGAGTCGTTCAATTGTCTTACAACGCTTCTGGTTTCTATTTTTAGACTATACGTGTACGACAGTGCTCCTCATTGAGCAATCTCGTTTTCAGAAATGTCTGATCGTCTCTTTCTTACTACAAATTCCCTTCCTCATTGATGCGCGTTTCTACTGCAGGCGAACCTACCGGACTGGATTAAGTCGGTTACACCCAAGCAGGAGTACATTGTTGAGAAATACACTCTGCCGTCCAGTGAGTGCCATCATGCCTTGTTTTGAGTCGACTCGGATCAAGTCGGTTACACCCAAGCAAGAGTACATTTTTGAGAAATACACTCTGCCGTCCAGTGAGTGCCATCATGCCTTGTTTTGAGTCGACTCGGATCAAGTCGGTTACACCCAAGCAAGAGTACATTGTTGAGAAATACACTCTGCCGTCCAGTGAGTGCCATCATGCAACACGAACCAATTACAGCAGCTTAGCTGTCCGTACTTCAGTTATGGGCTTAGGTTTGATTTACCGCGCAGTGAGTTGCTTTTCTGTCTGCTTGAACACACCCAACGAACAGCATTCTTCAACATACGCTCCCTTTCGCTTCCACTCCATCCTCCTCTCCCAACCCCCATCCCTCCTCTTCCCCTCTATCTTTTCTCTCTCCCTTCTTCCCTTCTCCATGCGTTCGTCATTAGTCCGCTTCTTGCCAAACTGTCCCTCCATTCATCCTCGTCTTTTGGTTGCCTGATTCGCCGCCTTTCTGCATGCAGGCTTCTCATCTCTCACGGACGTCAAGCACATCATCATGTCCTTCAGCCCTTCCTCCTGCTACCCCATATGTACGAGTAAACACTCCATGCCAGCATGAATGCATGCATTCATGCGGCTTTCATGCTTCCGCCCCACGTTTCGTCATGTCCTGACGTATGCAGTTGACAGGCTTGAACACTACACTACCAAACCAAACGTCAGCAATAAGTAGTTATACCCTCCCTTCTCGCCTCTCGCCTTCTCCGGACCCACCATTCCCGTCACACTCACACACTCCTCTCTCCCCACTTCCCATCCCACGTCCCTCTCATCCCCCCTGCAGACAACACCACCAAAGTAACCGCTGATCAGGCCGTTCCCGCATATCTCATGTCAGGCTCAGACATCTGCCTCTCCTGCTACGTCTACCTCACCTTCTCCTTCCTGGACGAGGCCACGGCCAGCCAAATCGGCAGCATATGCACGGAAACAGACAATGGGAAGCTGCGCGGGTACGTCTGCTCCACGGACGAGGGCGCTGAGGTCACGGTGGCGCAGGCGTTTGGGAGTCCGCCAGTGGTGAATGGCGGCGGGACGTCGGTGGGGTTTCTCTTCACGGAGATGTTTGTGCGCCAGCCCGCTGGCTCCACCATGCGCGTCCCCTCCATCCGCGTGGACCCCCTGTGAGTAGAGATAGTACCTATTCATTCAGCAGTCCTCTGTGGTCCGCTGGCTCCACCATGCGCCTCCCCTCCATCCGCGTGGACCCCCTGTGAGGAGAAACATTACGTTCTCTCATATAATCTGGTCCATTGTGAGTTTTTCTTTTCCTGTGGTCCTCACCCTGCGGTTTGTGTGCTCTGTATTGATGCGTTTCATTACTCAGCGTTTTGCTCTGCACTTCCGTTTCTGTCTTTGTGTGTGTGTGCGCATGGTTTCGTTGCATGGTTGCATCCCACCAGGGCCATGAAGGGAATCGGGTACATCATGGTGCCATCCAAGGGACCCACTCCTCTCCCTGGGGCCTTTGACGCCATGCCCTTCATTGCAGGCAACAACAGCAAGGTGAGGAACTGGAGAAACCACTCCCAACTTTCCTGCCAGGAATTGCTTGTGCAAAAGCAGCATCGAGATCTCTGATCTCTGCACAGCCATTGCCTTGCCATGTAGTCTGGTAATGATCTTGTCATGTGACCAACGGCAAGCCATTTCCCTTTTATTCCCCTCAACACTCCAGGCTGTGGGTGTGGGGCTAGTCTTCCCAATTACCCTGGTCAGTCAGGCGTCGCTCGCAACTACCCCGTTCAGCAGCAACACAGTGCTGACAGTCACACCCACCGCCTTCCCTGCCCTCTCCATGAGTGCTCCTGCCAAGGAGTCGTTGACTCTCAGTGCCAGCATAATCCCCCCTGCTGCCCCTGGTGCCGCTGCCGCCTCATACAACCTCTCCTTGTACATTGGCAAGGACGTGGTATGTGTCTTGAGTACCCTAATGCCTTTTTGTTCGAGATAAGGGTACATTCCGCTCTGGACATGTCCCAATCAGGTGTACCGCTCCGAACCGAACTAAACCAGAGACGCGAAAATTTTGACAATGTTTGAAACTAGGGTGTAATTCGGTGTGATAAGATGCAGTGCGGTGGAACCGATTGGGACATATAAGATTGGGACATGTCCAGAGTGGAATGTACCCTAAGGTGTTCATGAGTTATTGTTATCTTGTCTTATACCTTTCGTTTGGGCTGGTTGTTCTAATACGTATGTGTGGTTCGCTTTTGTTTGCAGAATACGACCAAGGCTTCTGCTCGTTTCAGTGCAACCTGGATGGTAGTGATGTTTGCGCTCCCTGCCCTCCTGACCGTGATGTAGTGGGACGAACTGCACAAATATCACATGCTGATGCAGGAAGATGCTGACTGATAGTGCACGGTATTGCCTTGCATTGCAACAGTAGGCAAGATTTTGGGTTGCAACAGAACCGTCTACCTTAGCAGAATACGGTAGCTTGTGTAACAAATGTGTTCAAACATTTTAACACACCCCCTTAACTGCCTGCAGCAAGAGTTGGTTTGTTCTGCAACAGTTTTTGTTGCAGGCAGTGAAGGGGGTGTGCTTGTACACATTTTTTTAGATGAAGTTCCTTGACATGGGATTCTAGTGGCTACTTGCTCTTGCTTGTATTCACTTGCAGTTGAATTTTCATATATAGCATATTTCAGTCTGGTTTAGCTTGAGAAATCATAACAGCTGCTACATTACAGCAATTTCTTAGCACAAATGCCTCGGTCGCATTGGCCAAATTTTGCGGCAGTATTCGGGATGTGATTGGATACTTTTCCACTTCACACGCGCCGACTTGGGAAAAAGCAGAGATCATTGGGCAGCGTGGTTCTTTCTGACGAAAGACAGATGCACACGTGTAAATATTGTTCAGCTACCCGAGACCACACAACTACGAAGCGCACGCGGCTCCGTCCCTTTGAGATTGGACACACCTTATTGGTGAATTTCTCTTTCCCACTCTCCAAACCGCCCCTCATCCCCCCCATCCGTCCCAAACACAAACCCAATCTACTTCCCCTCAACCCACCTCAACTCAACTTCACCCTAGCATAATCCATTCCGCCCATCCATCCCGTCCAGATTTATTTGCTTTGTCTCGAGTAGGTTCTCCTCCACGCATCCCTTTCAGCCGTGATTTTTCCCCTAACTACAGATTTTTATCCATTTGCCAAATCTCCCCCGTCCCCCTTCTGTGAACTCGTCTTAGTGAGTGTCTGCTCGGCGCAACTCACCTACTAGATTGCTTCACCCCAACTGTTCGACTAGAAGCTAAGACTCTACCTGAGATTGTGCACAGGTTGGACAAAAGCCAGCTCTCGCCGAGCCACGGGTCCTCCTTTCGTAATTGCCAGCACTAAGACGCCATGGCGAAGATATGCATTGGAGCTACCAATCATTCTCTCGCCTTCCCGATCAATTGCCATTCTAAATCTCATGTCGTGCAAGCAACGCCGATTGGCGGAGATGTCAATGGCAGAAGCGCCCACTTACAAAAGCTGTTGCAACCTCGCGAACTTCGCAACGGTGGGCGAAATCGACGCGCGACAGTCGCGATGACGATCAGCCGCATCCCTCCGTCCGACACGGTTCTCGAGGCGTCGCAGAATACGACGATGACGATTCCCCCGCGAACGACTCTCAAAGAGTATCTCGATAAGATCACGGACCCGCTAGAAGCGGAGCTGCGGACTCGCTACTGGCTGCCACACATCACGGATATTGATCCCGATTCACCGTCGTTCTACTCAACGTTTTGCACAAAGACAAGGTCCATACACAAAAAATCTTACCACCTCTTGTTCGACGCGTCAAATTCTGTTGTGACGACAAGAAAGCTACCTTGAAAGGGTGGACTGATAAAATCAGCTGCGACTTGGTCCATTGCTTCTGGGATAATAATAACAGTTGTGTACCCATGGTGATCCGCTGCTAATTTGTGCATATACGGGGTTCGCGCGCATCTCCGGAAGATTCGAGTCGGCCCTTGAGAGGAGCCTCTAAACTGGATGTTTTACTTTGCGGAAAGACTGCTCAACTGAGTTTTGGCGATCCAACCAGACTTCGCTTGCGTGCCCCTGATCCTCCCCTCTTCCCCCTGAGCGCAGCTGTCCGCTGCTCCCCCTGGATAAAGGCGCGTCGTTCGTGGACCACGACACGCACGAGCTGGGCACCACATCGCTCTTCGTGCACGACAACGACAAAGTGCTGCTCAAGGTGCGGCGGATACGCGCTCAAGGTGGGATAAGAACGTGCTCCAAGTGGTGCTGGCATGCGATCAAGGGACCTCCAATAAGCGCTACCAGATCTCTATAACGACCTGGTCTTCCTCATTCATAGCCTCTTCAAATGCACTCTCCGCCCGTTCTCGACGCACCTCAGTAGCATCGCCTCTACCCACCCTTCACCTCTATTCTTCCTCCTCTTCTCCCACCCATCCTGGATCTATGCTAGAGAACTTTCAAAAGTGAACCCCTACCCATCCTTCACCTCTCCTCACCCCTCCTCCCTCCAATCCTCCTCCCGCCTCGCCGCCTACTCTCCTCTCTCTCCATCCCCCGCACATGCAGACGGTGAAGTACATCACATCACATCACATGACGGCCGACGCATCATCGGAGGAGGACGGCAACTGTCGAGGCGGATCAGCCGCAGTCAGTCAAAGCATCTCCTTCTCCCTTTCCGCCACCACCCCCTGTCCCTTTCTGCGTTCCTCAGACCGTGAAGTACTCACACCCCATGACGGCCGATGCCTCGTCGGAGGAGGATTGCCAGTTCGTGCAGCACTGGTGCGTTTGCCTAGCGGGAGGATTAGCGACGAAAGGAGTGGGAGTGGTGAAGAAAGGGAGTGAGCGGAAAGGAGGGAGGGAGTGAGGGAAGAGGGGATGGAGGGATAAAGGTATGGAAGAATGGAGTAATGGAAGTCTGGTGGTACGAGGGTATGGAGGTTGGGGGTATGGAGGCATGGGAGTACGGGGGTATGGGGTATGAAAGGCGCTGTGAACCTTTTCACACTGCAGGGCTTGCTGGCTGCAGTGGTGGCCTTCGACCCAGCCATCCCTTCTCGCTGTCCTTGCCTTATTCCCTCCCCCTCACCTTCCCTTCGCCTCCTCCTCCCCAGGCTGGTGCGAGCGGGGGCGAGGCCGCGCATCTACTTCAAGCCACAGGACGTGCGCGCTGCTGTCGTGACGTGCGGAGGGCTCTGCCCTGGGCTCAATGACGTCATCCGCCAGGTGAGAGGGGCTCAATGACGTCATCCGCCAGGTGAGAGGGGCTCAATGACGTCATCCGCCAGGTGAGAGGGGCTCAATGACGTCATCCGTCGGGTGAGGGGGGTGGGATGATGACATCACTGCACCGTAAACCTCTCAGCACAGCACCATGTCGACCAGTCACCGAGTCGACAATGCCACAACCCATATACTTGCTACTCCCCCCCCCTCCTTCCACTTCCCCTTCCCCCCATCCCCTCTCTTCTGCCATCACGCCACACCCCTTGTGCTGCCCACAGGTGGTGATGACACTCAACAAATATGGGGTGCGTTAACATCCGAGGCATCAAGAATGGCATCTGACATTCTTTAAGCCCCTCTCTTCGCCCACCTCACCCACCTTACCCCACCTTACCCCACCCCGCTCCACACCTTGTGCTGCCCACAGGTGGTGATGACACTTAACACGTATGGAGTGAGTGACATTCGGGGTATCAAGTATGGCTTTCGGGGCTTCTTCGATTCCTCCCTGCACATTCCGGTCAGTGCCTCGCACATTCCGGTCAGTGCCTCGCACATTCCGGTCAGTGCCTCGCACGTTCCGGTCAGTGCCTCGCACGTTCGTCCGGTCAGTTGCCTCGCACATTCCGGTCAGTGCCTCGCACATTCCGGTCAGTGCCTCGCACATTCCGGTCAGTGCCCTCGCACATTCCGGTCAGTGCCTCGCACATTCCGGTCAGTGCCTCGCCATTCCGGTCAGTGCCTTCGCACATTCCGGTCAGTGCCTCGCACATTCCGGTCAGTGCCTCGCACATTCCGGTCAGTGCCTCGCACATTCCGGTCAGTGCCTCGCACATTCCGGTCAGTGCCATCGCACTTCCGGTCAGTGCCTCGCACATTCCGGTCAGTGCCTCCCACCTTCCTGACTGAGCCGCGCACATTCCGGTCAGTGCCTCGCACATTCCGGTCAGTGCCTCGCACATTCCGGTCAGTGCCTCGCACATTCCGGTCAGTGCCTCGCACATTCCGGTCAGTGGCCTCGCACATTCCGGTCCAGTGCCTCGCACATTCCGGTCAGTGGCCTTCGCACATTCCGGTCAGTGCCTCGCACATTCCGGTCAGTGCCTCGCACATTCCGGTCAGTGCCTCGCACATTCCGGTCAGTGCCTCGCACATTCCGGTCAGTGCCTCGCACATTCCGGTCAGTGCCTCGCACATTCCGGTCAGTGCCTCGCACATTCCGGTCAGTGCCTCGCACATTCCGGTCAGTGCCTCGCACATTCCGGTCAGTGCCTCGCACATTCCGGTCAGTGCCTCGCACATTCCGGTCAGTGCCTCGCACATTCCGGTCATGCCTCGCACATTCCGGTCAGTGCATTGTTCTTTCTGGTGTGTGCCTCGCACATTCCGGTCAGTGCCTCGCACATTCCGGTCAGTGCCTCGCACATTCCGGTCAGTGCCTCGCACATTCCGGTCAGTGCCTCGCACATTCCGGTCAGTGCCTCGCACATTCCGGTCAGTGCCTCGCACATTCCGGTCAGTGCCTCGCACATTCCGGTCAGTGCCTCGCACATTCCGGTCAGTGCCTCGCACATTCCGGTCAGTGCCTCGCACATTCCGGTCAGTGCCTCGCACATTCCGGTCAGTGCCTCGCACATTCCGGTCAGTGCCTCGCACATTCCGGTCAGTGCCTCGCACATTCCGGTCAGTGCCTCGCACATTCCGGTCAGTGCCTCGCACATTCCGGTCAGTGCCTCGCACATTCCGGTCAGTGCCTCGCACATTCCGGTCAGTGCCTCGCACATTCCGGTCAGTGCCTCGCACATTCCGGTCAGTGCCTCGCACATTCCGGTCAGTGCCTCGCACATTCCGGTCAGTGCCTCGCACATTCCGGTCAGTGCCTCGCACATTCCGGTCAGTGCCTCGCACATTCCGGTCAGTGCCTCGCACATTCCGGTCAGTGCCTCGCACATTCCGGTCAGTGCCTCGCACATTCCGGTCAGTGCCTCGCACATTCCGGTCAGTGCCTCGCACATTCCGGTCAGTGCCTCGCACATTCCGGTCAGTGCCTCGCACATTCCGGTCAGTGCCTCGCACATTCCGGTCAGTGCCTCGCACATTCCGGTCAGTGCCTCGCACATTCCGGTCAGTGCCTCGCACATTCCGGTCAGTGCCTCGCACATTCCGGTCAGTGCCTCGCACATTCCGGTCAGTGCCTCGCACATTCCGGTCAGTGCCTCGCACATTCCGGTCAGTGCCTCGCACATTCCGGTCAGTGCCTCGCACATTCCGGTCAGTGCCTCGCACATTCCGGTCAGTGCCTCGCACATTCCGGTCAGTGCCTCGCACATTCCGGTCAGTGCCTCGCACATTCCGGTCAGTGCCTCGCACATTCCGGTCAGTGCCTCGCACATTCCGGTCAGTGCCTCGCACATTCCGGTCAGTGCCTCGCACATTCCGGTCAGTGCCTCGCACATTCCGGTCAGTGCCTCGCACATTCCGGTCAGTGCCTCGCACATTCCGGTCAGTGCCTCGCACATTCCGGTCAGTGCCTCGCACATTCCGGTCAGTGCCTCGCACATTCCGGTCAGTGCCTCGCACATTCCGGTCAGTGCCTCGCACATTCCGGTCAGTGCCTCGCACATTCCGGTCAGTGCCTCGCACATTCCGGTCAGTGCCTCGCACATTCCGGTCAGTGCCTCGCACATTCCGGTCAGTGCCTCGCACATTCCGGTCAGTGCCTCGCACATTCCGGTCAGTGCCTCGCACATTCCGGTCAGTGCCTCGCACATTCCGGTCAGTGCCTCGCACATTCCGGTCAGTGCCTCGCACATTCCGGTCAGTGCCTCGCACATTCCGGTCAGTGCCTCGCACATTCCGGTCAGTGCCTCGCACATTCCGGTCAGTGCCTCGCACATTCCGGTCAGTGCCTCGCACATTCCGGTCAGTGCCTCGCACATTCCGGTCAGTGCCTCGCACATTCCGGTCAGTGCCTCGCACATTCCGGTCAGTGCCTCGCACATTCCGGTCAGTGCCTCGCACATTCCGGTCAGTGCCTCGCACATTCCGGTCAGTGCCTCGCACATTCCGGTCAGTGCCTCGCACATTCCGGTCAGTGCCTCGCACATTCCGGTCAGTGCCTCGCACATTCCGGTCAGTGCCTCGCACATTCCGGTCAGTGCCTCGCACATTCCGGTCAGTGCCTCGCACATTCCGGTCAGTGCCTCGCACATTCCGGTCAGTGCCTCGCACATTCCGGTCAGTGCCTCGCACATTCCGGTCAGTGCCTCGCACATTCCGGTCAGTGCCTCGCACATTCCGGTCAGTGCCTCGCACATTCCGGTCAGTGCCTCGCACATTCCGGTCAGTGCCTCGCACATTCCGGTCAGTGCCTCGCACATTCCGGTCAGTGCCTCGCACATTCCGGTCAGTGCCTCGCACATTCCGGTCAGTGCCTCGCACATTCCGGTCAGTGCCTCGCACATTCCGGTCAGTGCCTCGCACATTCCGGTCAGTGCCTCGCACATTCCGGTCAGTGCCTCGCACATTCCGGTCAGTGCCTCGCACATTCCGGTCAGTGCCTCGCACATTCCGGTCAGTGCCTCGCACATTCCGGTCAGTGCCTCGCACATTCCGGTCAGTGCCTCGCACATTCCGGTCAGTGCCTCGCACATTCCGGTCAGTGCCTCGCACATTCCGGTCAGTGCCTCGCACATTCCGGTCAGTGCCTCGCACATTCCGGTCAGTGCCTCGCACATTCCGGTCAGTGCCTCGCACATTCCGGTCAGTGCCTCGCACATTCCGGTCAGTGCCTCGCACATTCCGGTCAGTGCCTCGCACATTCCGGTCAGTGCCTCGCACATTCCGGTCAGTGCCTCGCACATTCCGGTCAGTGCCTCGCACATTCCGGTCAGTGCCTCGCACATTCCGGTCAGTGCCTCGCACATTCCGGTCAGTGCCTCGCACATTCCGGTCAGTGCCTCGCACATTCCGGTCAGTGCCTCGCACATTCCGGTCAGTGCCTCGCACATTCCGGTCAGTGCCTCGCACATTCCGGTCAGTGCCTCGCACATTCCGGTCAGTGCCTCGCACATTCCGGTCAGTGCCTCGCACATTCCGGTCAGTGCCTCGCACATTCCGGTCAGTGCCTCGCACATTCCGGTCAGTGCCTCGCACATTCCGGTCAGTGCCTCGCACATTCCGGTCAGTGCCTCGCACATTCCGGTCAGTGCCTCGCACATTCCGGTCAGTGCCTCGCACATTCCGGTCAGTGCCTCGCACATTCCGGTCAGTGCCTCGCACATTCCGGTCAGTGCCTCGCACATTCCGGTCAGTGCCTCGCACATTCCGGTCAGTGCCTCGCACATTCCGGTCAGTGCCTCGCACATTCCGGTCAGTGCCTCGCACATTCCGGTCAGTGCCTCGCACATTCCGGTCAGTGCCTCGCACATTCCGGTCAGTGCCTCGCACATTCCGGTCAGTGCCTCGCACATTCCGGTCAGTGCCTCGCACATTCCGGTCAGTGCCTCGCACATTCCGGTCAGTGCCTCGCACATTCCGGTCAGTGCCTCGCACATTCCGGTCAGTGCCTCGCACATTCCGGTCAGTGCCTCGCACATTCCGGTCAGTGCCTCGCACATTCCGGTCAGTGCCTCGCACATTCCGGTCAGTGCCTCGCACATTCCGGTCAGTGCCTCGCACATTCCGGTCAGTGCCTCGCACATTCCGGTCAGTGCCTCGCACATTCCGGTCAGTGCCTCGCACATTCCGGTCAGTGCCTCGCACATTCCGGTCAGTGCCTCGCACATTCCGGTCAGTGCCTCGCACATTCCGGTCAGTGCCTCGCACATTCCGGTCAGTGCCTCGCACATTCCGGTCAGTGCCTCGCACATTCCGGTCAGTGCCTCGCACATTCCGGTCAGTGCCTCGCACATTCCGGTCAGTGCCTCGCACATTCCGGTCAGTGCCTCGCACATTCCGGTCAGTGCCTCGCACATTCCGGTCAGTGCCTCGCACATTCCGGTCAGTGCCTCGCACATTCCGGTCAGTGCCTCACTCACATAGGTAGTGCCAGTCTTTGAACACAGTTCACGACTGTCAGTGCTCTCACGCTAGCCTACTAGCGCTGTAACAATTACTCCCCAACTTCCATCACAGCATCATCCCCCCCTCGCTCTGCACCTCTCTTCTTCCCCCCCCTCTCCCCCCCCCCCCCAACACCAGCTGAACCGGGCCGTGGTGGACAACATTCACCTCATGGGCGGGTCGTTCCTGGGGGAGGCAAGGGATAGCAACCGCCTACCCTTCAACGCATGCCTTTCCTTCCCCTCTTTTAACTCCCCTCCCATTGCCCACCAGCTGAACCGAGCGGTGGTGGACAATATTCACCTCATGGGCGGGTCGTTCCTGGGAGTGTCGCGAGGGGGCTCCAACAGCCTTGATATCGTTGACTCCATTCAGGTGGGAAGGAGATGGGGGGAGATGGGGGGAGATGGGGAGGAGATGGGGGAGGGATGGGGGAGGGCTGCGGAGGGGTGGGAGAAGTATGGGAGGTATGGTGTTAAACCGAGGGGGTTCCATTGTCGACTCCATTCAGGTGGGGGCGATGGGGGGAGATGACGGGAGATATGGTGGAGAGTTTGGGGAGGGATGGGGGAGGTATGGGGGAGGGATGGGGGAGGGATGGGGGAGGGATGGGGGAGGGATGGGGGAGGGATGGGGGAGGGATGGGGGAGGGATGGGGGAGAGATGGAACAACAGGTTTTGAGTTGAGTGGGATGGCACGCACAAGCAAGTAAACTGCACAAGGAAAGGTGATCTAGGTTTACATGGCAATTCATACAATGCCATGCCATTCCATGGCATGGGAGAGTTAGGCAACCGCCCTTCACTAGCACCCATGCCTTTTCTCTCCCTTACCCATCTACCAGTGCTCGTCCTTTCCCTCACGCCCCCAACCCCCCTTTTTTACTGCAGAAGGAGGGGATCAACATGCTGTTTGTGATTGGTGGAAACGGCACCCATGCCGGAGCTCTGGCCATTCACAAGGAGGTGAGTGTGGCGAACGAGGAAATTGGGATTGGAGAGACAAGCAGAAAGAGACAAGAAGAGGAGGTAAGAGAGAGGAGAGAGGAGGAGAGAGGAGGAGAGAGAGGAGAGAGGAGGAAAAGAGAGGAGGAGAGAGGAGGAGCCAGTGCAGGTGCGTGGTTCAAACCACCCACCCACACACCATTCCTACCCATCCCACCCTCTTACCCCTGACCTACAACGTGTGCAGTGCTACAAGTGCGGTATGAAGGTGGCGGCGGTGGGATACCAGAGACCATTGACAATGACATTCTGCTGCTGGACCAGACGTTTGGCTTCCAAGTGACTTGCCACTCCACTCAAAAGTCCACCTGTTACTCTCTATCCCTCTCCCCCTTACCCTACACCCTGCACCAATGCGAACAGTGTTATAAGCGGGGCTTGAAGGTGGCGGTGGTGGGGGTGCCCAAGACCATCGACAAGGACATACTGCTGCTGGACCACTCTGGTGGCCAACTGACTTACCACTCGACTCACTCTGGTGGCCAACTGACTTACCACTCGACTCACAACACAACTGCTACCCCCCACAATCTCCCACTCCACCCTGCACAGTGCTACAAGCGCGGGATGAAGGTGGCGGTGGTGGGGGTGCCCAAGACCATTGACAACGACATTCTGCTGCTGGACCAGACGTTTGGCTTCGACACGGCTGTGGAGGAGGCTCAGAGGGCGCTGCACGCCGCGTATGTGGAGGTGAGAGGGAGAAGGAATGCGGAGGGGTGGAAAGGGGGGGACGTGGGAGGGTAGGGGGAAAGAAGGGCTGCCGTGGAGGAGGCTCAGAGGGCGCTGTACACCGCCTATGTGGAGGTGAGAGAAGTAATGTGGGCAGGGGGGTGAGGCGAGCACAGAGATGGGTGGAGGGAGGTAAGGTGGACACAGGAATGGGTTGAAGGGGGTAAAGTGAGAACAGGGATGGTCCAGATGTTTGGGTATGACAAATCTGTGGCGAAGGTGCAGAGGGCGCTGCACGCTGCCAGTGTGGAGGTGAGAGAAGGAATGGGTAGGTCCATGGCCATGGGCATGGGGCCATGGGCATGGGGTCGCTTGCACGACATGCAACCTGTTACCACTCCTCCCCATTTGTTCTTCCAAAGCGTACCGTACAGAATTATGGGCATTGTGAAGCTGGTGGGTCATAGGCAGAGTGACGCCAAGCCAAGCCAAGCCAGATTCATGTCACATCCCCTCCCTGCCCTCCCTTTTCGCCCGTGGTGTGACGGCTGCAGGCATCCAGCGTGTACAGGGGCATGGGCATCGTGAAGATGATGTGATGTGATGTGGGTACAATGATGCCAAGTCGAATCTACATCGCCTTTCCTCTCCTCCCTGCCCGCCCTCGCCCCCCTGCCCACCCTGTCCTCTCTCCCCCCGTGTGACAGGCGTCCAGCGCGTACAGGGGCATCGGCATTGTGAAGCTGATGGGGCGGCAGAGTGGCTTCATTGCCATGCACTCGTCGCTCGCCAGTGGGCAGGTCGACATGGCGCTTATCCCCGAGGTATGCAGTGGGGGGGGTTAGGGAAGGGAGGGAAGAGAGGGAGGGCAATGTGTCAGCTTCAAGCCTTGCCATGCACACATCCCTTGCCCAGTCTGCTGCTGTTCAGCAACCCACAGTTCTTCCCTTCCAGACGAGACATCTCACACCTGTAATCCACGGCTGGTCTCGCCTCTCCCACTGCCCGTCACACCTTTCACCACATTCCTTGCTGTCTCAGCTCTTCGAGGCGTCTCACCACTGAGCATGCTCGTGCCCCTTCTGCGTTCATTCGCCTCACTCAAATGCTCCTGTCTCTTCATACAAGCTCCATACAAGCCTCCCCATACAAGCTCCATGCTGCCAGGATAAGCCCTCCTGCAGCGTACTGCAGCAGCATCAGGTTCTAAGCCCATTCTTCAGGTCACCGAGTTCCCGTACTGCCTGCACACCACTCCTCCATCCCCTCTCGCCACTCCTTCCTGCCTATGGCCCGGCCCTGCCTCCTCGCTCTAATCCCCCACATGCCATTCCGCCTGGAGGAGCCCAATAGGTTGCAATTGCTGCAGTACCAACTCTTTCCCCCTGTCTCCTCTTTCACCCCTCCCCAGGTGCCGTTCTGTCTGGAGGGCCCCAACGGGGTGCTGCAGCATTTGGAGTATCTCCTGGGCCGCCAGGGCCACGCCATCATCTGCGTCGCCGAGGGCGCAGGCCAGGTGAGGGGTTTCATGGGGACGTTGGACGTGAATACTGACAGTTGAGGAAAAAAAACACGGTTACGGCAACTCAGAAGTCGTCGTTGTTCCTAGACCGCCAGGGCCAGACCATCATCTGAGGAGAGTGTAGGGCAGGTGAGATGGAAGGAAAAAAACAACAAACAAATCTTCTTCTCCCCTTGCTTGACAGCGATGCAAATTCCAGCGAAGGAAAAAGAACCCAGCATGTGAATGTGCGTGCATTCCATCCTTTTGAATGTGTGTGAATGCAGGACCTGGTGCAAGGGGAGGGCGGCACGGATGCGTCAGGAAATCCAATCCTGTCGGACATTGGGGTCTTTCTCTTGAAGCAGGTGGGGATGGGGAGGCTGCTTGGGATAGCGCCTCTTTCTCATTCTGAATCTCATTTCTGCTCCCCTTACCAGTTTCATTACCTTTCTGTTCCTCATTCATTCTCATTCTCATTCTCGTTCTCACTAAATCTCCCATTGACCTAACAAGGGACGTTCTTGCCTTCCCGCCACCTCTTCCTTTCGCCCTCTTCCCCCCTCGTGACCTGATTCTGGATGATCCAGGTGCGGCGTCATTTCAAGTCCATCGGACGGCCAGCAGACGTGAAGTACATCGATCCGACGTACATGATCCGTGCGTGCCGCGCGAACGCGTCGGACAGCGTCATGTGCGCAGTGCTGGGGCAGAACGCCGTTCACGGCGCGTTCGCCGGCTACAGCGGCATCACCGTGGGGTTGGTCAACTCGCACTACGCGTATATCCCGATCCCCGAAGTTATCAGGCACGCGCGGCCCGTGGATCCTAACGGTCGCATGTGGCACCGGTGTCTCACGGCCACAGGTCAGCCGGATTTTATTCGGGTGCAATAATAAGGCTGTCGTACAGCTTCCAGGTTGAATAGTTCAAAGGTTATAAAGACAGGTGATTCAGTGTCTTGTATTGTAACACCTCATGCGGGAAATGATTCGTGACTTCCTTTGAGTGGGTTATCCGCTAAATAAATTTTGGATTTTTCTGACATAGCTTGATCCCTTATATTTATAATTCAATACATGCCCGGGTAGCCTGTTAATACCATTCTGCTCCATGGTTCAGGTAGTGAATGTCACACAACAACAGAAATAAAATAGCTCCCATTTTTTATTTTGACCTGAGATGGCTGATCTCACCAGATACATATTAATGGACTTGGAAAAATGCCATGAAGTCTTATAAAAAGGAGTGAGTAGCCTATATGCGTAAGATTGAATGTATACTTCATTATTCATCGTTTTCTATCTTTCTGGCCGCAAGTTACCATTTTGCGTCACTTTCTTTTTGTCGCCTACTCTCAGGATAATCATCCTGCCTCGACTGAGATAAAGGTAGGTAACAAGATACTTCGGTGACCTTTCGGACCACTTAACGTAATTCCCTTACAGTCTCTGAACTGTCTGCCAACTTTGCTCCACACAACCCTCGCGTCAGGTTTTTCTCGATATTTGCAAAAATCAAGCGTCATTCCCTCAAACATGTGTTCAGTTCCCTATTCGAACTTGGGATTTAGATTTCCACTCTCCATCCACAAAGAGAGCACCCTGAGGTTACTTGAAGTGAGCCCTGCCACCTCCCCCAGAGTGCCCAAACCCCCCCTCCCAAACCCTCGCCTAAAACCATGTGACCCTGTCGTTTCCAACAAAAGTTGCTTCCCTAACCTCACAAAGTCGATGTCATTTTCAGGCTTGAGTGCTGCTGTTTAAGGTAGTTTGGAATATACAAGGTTGTTTCTGGAGGGGCCGGGGAGTTCGAGCTTGAATCCAACCTCTCAACACAAACCCAGGACGCGATGCCGCCCGTTGTTGGCGATTGACCTGAACATATGTTGTGGCTAGTATGGTTCGGTACGGTTCTAGTTGTCATCGAGGCTCGGCGATTCGGCCGTTTCCGTGAAAATCAAGGGATTGCTGGGCTTGTCAGGCATCTCCTGATGTCCGAACGTGACAGGTAGCCTTCTGAACCTAACCCCGCCGACATTGCCATACCTGACATCCACCTGACAGCGGTCCACCATAACAACCGCGGATGCGTGTAACGAGCACCAGACCTCGATTCTCTTTTTGTCCGTTGGGTCAAACGCGAACCTCCATTCGCTCGGGACCTCTGCGCAGTCGGGCTACCCGGAGGAAACCGAACCAGTCTACCTCACCTAGGCTGCCAACCAAACCGCTCCCGAGGCCGCAATCCGAGCCTTCCGTCCCCTCCGACATCCCCGCCAAGTTTGACCCAGAACCTGCTGGGCTGCTCTGGCACAAGAATCGTGCAAGGAGATCGCGTTCCACCCGTCCCCGCCCCTGAAATGCCTCGCCAAAATTCTGTGCGGTGTACGGTACTGTAATTGGTTGCTATCTCGTGTCCGCTTTCTGCTATGCTCCCTGGTCTGTTTCCTAGCCAGGCAACACATACCTGCTTTGCACATCACGCATCTCCGAGTTTTTGACCCCATGAATCTACGTCTGGCCTTTTCTCGTCATGTGGCGGTATTTGTGCGGAGGCGGCTCCTCGTGCTAGTTCTTTCACTCCTGCGTATTTGGCGGCGGAACGCGTTCGTTTTACCGCATGAACCCAGTCGAGTTTGAGAATACTTATACATAGGAGATGCGTTCCCTCGTAAAGTCATATATCTCGTGTTTTTGTGATTGTCCTGAGTAAGGCTATTGGTGTCTCAGAGCATTGCTTGTGCAGCAGTATTCTATTTGCCTTATCATCTTGTTTCCAGCTTTTCGACCAGTTAACCCGACGAACGACAGCAGATTATTCGCGATCTTGACTCGTTAGGCTCGATCGATCATTTCCGGGACTAGGTCAACCCTAGGACCTTCGACGTTGAACAGGCCGACTTAAGCTTTTTGGTTGCGACGTTCGCTGAGCGCAGATACTCTCTACTTCCATCTTCTGGCACACAACGAGTAAGGTAACCGCGCTTCTTCACCAGCCTTTAATGATTGTCCCGCAGCAGGTGCCTTGAGTGGATAATGAGTCGTCTCAACGCTTCCTTACCATGGGATAGCTCAGTTTCTCCGTTTCCCGCTGTCGTGGTTCCCTCAAGCGTTGCGATAAGGTGCTTCCGCTAACCCGCCTTCTTATCCAATTCTCGTCTCCCCTTCCATCCCCGTTGCAGATGCTCTCGTTAGCCGACATTATGATGGTCGTTCCTCCTTCTCCAACCCCAGCCAAAATCCCTCGACGGAGTTCCTACTTCTGGAAAGTCAGCACAGTGGTTCTGCTGGCCATATGTGGCCTATCGCTGTGCATTAAATCCATATCACACACCGCATCCTCGTTCGACCTATTCGCGTCGCTATCCATAGAAGCTGTTCCCATCGATTCCCCATACACTCCCTCGTCTTCTCCCCACTCCTCCTCGTCCTCCTCCTCGTCCTCCTCGCCGTCGTCCTCCTCCTCGACTTCTTCGCCGCCCCGCTCACTCGCTTCCGAGGAAAGCGAGGAGGAGAAGGCAGCTGTGCGGAAGGCGCAAAGGGAAGCAGATTCGAGGGAGTTAGAAAAATGTCCCGCGATCCCGGACGTAGAATATGGCGACTTGGAGCGGTTCGGTCAACATTATCCCAACCCTCTTAATTACAGCCGAGGAGAATGCCTGTGCAAACCCGTGCACAATTTCGTCGTCCTTTCCATGCAGCGGTCCGGCAGCGGGTGGTTCGAAACGTTCTTAAACTCCCACCCAAACATTAGTAGCCACGGCGAGATATTCATAGTCAGGCCACGGCGCGAAAACGCGTCGGCAGTCGCGGAGACGCTTGACCGCGTGTACAACCTGGATTGGTCGAACAGCGCCGCGAAGAACTCGTGCACGAGCGCCGTCGGATTCAAATGGATGCTCAACCAGGTGAGGGGGCCGTTGGCTTTAGATGCTCTTCCAGGTGATGTGGACTGTTTGTTGGGATGGATGGTGAACCAGGTGAGGATGAGAGAGGGAGGATGGGGGAGGGATGAAGGTAAAAAGTTGACGAGGAGAGGGGAAGTGAATGACGAAAGCGAGCGGAGAGGAGGCCAGGTGTAGGAAATCGACCTGGAGACGGAAAGAGAAAGGGTGTAGGGGGAGAAGGGAGGGAAGACGAGGAAGGGCGCTGGAGGAGGAAGAGGAGAGGAGGGATGAGGGAGGAAAAAAAAATAGGGAGTGAGAAGGTCTGGGTAAGTGACGAAAAGAGGGATTGCACGAGATTTGAAAGCGGAGGGTCGTCCCTCAGGGAGGGTAGGGTGAGGTGGTGAATGCTGGAGGGTGGTCGTATTAGGCACGGTGGGCTGCCATCCTTACCCTGACTCACATCCCCAGGCGCCGTCCCCGTAACCCAAGTTCCGGTTGTTCGCTCACATGCTTCTCTTGTCCTGCCCACTTGTCTTCTCCAAGTAGCCTCTTGGATTTTCTCACTCATTTTTCTCCCTCCCCAACCATACTATCCAACTCTCGCTGCCGCTGGCATTGCAGGGCGCGATGGAGTTCAGTAGTGACGTGGCAGAGTACTTCAAGAAGCACCACGTGTCAGTCATCCTGCTTATCAGGAAGAACGTGCTGCGGCGGCTGATTTCCATCCTGGCGAACGCGTACGATCGCAAGACGCAGCTAGTGGGAGTGCACAAGTCGCACACGCATAGCAAAGAAGAGGTGCGTCGTGCGCTCATTCAGATCTCCTTTTGTCCCTTTCCTTTGCTCCACACCACACCACACACCCCACCTCCCTTCACCCTACCCTAACCCCTTCCGCACACTGCCCTTCCGTTCCCCTCCTCCCTCTCATGAAGCACCCTTAGCCCAGCTACTAATTACTCGCTCCCTCTCTGTCTCTCTGACATTTTCCCTCCCCTCGCTGTCCTAAACAACCCCGCTATTTTGCACCAACATTCATTATTTAGTTGACGTAAAAGAATGTATTTGTCACCAGCATTCACCGCCATTCCTCCGCATGCCACCTTCGTTAGTGTAACCAACGTTCCTGCGTTTTTCACCCCTGGGTGCGTTCGTCCAACGGTGCAGGCGGAGAAGCTGGCGACGTTTCGGCCGAACGTGAACGCGAAGCACCTGGAGGGCAACCTGCAGCGCGTGCAGGAGATGGTGGACGACGCGCTGAGAGCGTTCAATGGCACCAGACGGATGCTCGTGTACTACGAGGACGTTGTCAAGAACAAAACGGTGAGTGCTGCCAACCTTGCCAGTTATTTGCTAATGCTGCTCGAATATGCTCAGTCACTCAATCATAACTGTTGTGGAATAACCTTGTTTGGTAGATCTTGGTCCCTTTCCCTGTCACCCCCCTCCTCTGTCATTCCACAACCTCAAATCCCCTCCCTCCCTCCCTCCCTCCCTCCCTCCCTCCCTCCCTCCCTCCCTCCCTGCCTTCCCTGTTCCCTCCTCCCTCGGAACTCCATCTTCCCACCTTCCGTTCATACATTCATACATTCATACATTCCTTGAATCCTCTTCCCCGCCAGTCATCCAGCCCTCTCTCTCAATCACTAACTACCTCTCACCTTTCCCCACGTTTCACCCCTCCCTTCCCTCCCTGCTGCCTCCCATTTAGATCCTGAAGAACGTGGGGGCGCGTCTTTGGAGTGCCGGCACAGAGCTGATAAGCAAGCCTCTCTCTTACATTCACCCTCTCACCTTCCCTCCCCCTCCCCTTCCCCACTTCAGATCCTAGAGAATGTGCAGCGCTTCTTAGGAGTGCCAGCACAGGAGCTGACGAGCAAGCAGGTGAAGATCCACACGCGGCCACTGAGGGAGTCCATTGAGAACTACGACGCCGTGGCTGCGAAGCTCAAAGGCACCGAGTTTGAGAAATTCCTCGAGGATGAGAGCTATGGTTGACGTGGCGCGCGGTGGTGAGGTGACAGTCGATTCTGGGTGTGGAGGGCAGTGGATTGGAGGCCCGCTGCCATAGCCTCCTACCCAGCCATAGAGAAATCCGTGCACATGCATTGCACATAGAATTATTCAAGGGTGGCTGGCTGTCTATCCCCTCCTAAGATGAGGGGGTGGCTAGGTAGGACGGAACAGAAGATGATGTTTTGTATAGAATTGCTGCTAGAACGCTTGAAATAATCGCAACCTACAATGGAGTTGCTATGCAATATGTATTTCGACTTCCAATCCCCCTTAGCTCAATACTTAAAACCCAAGACCTGAATTGTTCAACGGAAGTCAACTGCAGGCTAAATTCTGGGGCGCGGCAGGCAAACTGTGCACAGTTTGCCCTCTTTTTTTTGTAATTCAGGTTTTGGGCTTTAAGCTGCAACGTAATTTCTTGCTGCTCTGGTGTTGGGCAAGTTCAAATGAAGCACTGTTGCGAGTTTTGATTCAACTTGCAAGGAATGACGCATGTTTGACACATGTTTTGAAATTAGCCAAGCATCGTATATCGCGTACGACCGCCGTCAAACACCTATCACCCAGAATCAGCTTGGGAACTCCACAGACGCCATGGCGGCTGCTCAGCAGTTGCTGTTGTAAGGTGCCTGCCTCCGCCTAGCGTCAGGAAGGGGATTCTTCACCGCCGATCTCCACCATCGATCCCTCGATCGCGCTTTTTTCGTGGATTCTCATCATTGGTCCCTTGTTGTTACCTTCGCTCTCTTGCGCCTCGCGTCACCCACGATCATCTCCCCTCCCTCCACTCCGTCGCGCGACCAGCACCAGAAACGCATCCCACTTCAGCTTGCGTCTTCATGTGTTGTCTTGCGACCTGTAATTTCGCGATTCGCTGATCCGTAAAAGAGGACTCTCAGGACTCATCCTTCTTCGTCTTTGGCCCTTCGTAACATATAAGCACCACCTGTGGCCACGCTGGCGCCATGCCACGTGTCGATTTCCTGCGGGTCCGCCATGGCATCGTCAGGCTGGCTCGCGACGGGCTCCATTCGTTTCGTCATCACCATCATGAGGCTTCTCACACCGGAACGCGCGGCGTTACAGCATGGCGGGCTGGACTCGAGAGCGACGGAAGCGGGTCGTCAAGGCTGCCGCACGGGAGAGCGTCGTCAGATACAGCCTTGTCAGATACTAGTTTGCGGGAGTCGCTGAGTTCTGAGACAGCTCAATGCGTCCAGCAGCAGGCAGTGCAGCAGCAGTTGCAGCCATGGAGATATCCAGAGACGCCGGGTCAGGTGTCCAAATTCGTTGAATCGCTTTTTGAAGGCCCTCAAGAACCCTGGAGATCCCAAGGGTCGACAAGCCAGGTGTCCAGATTCATCGGGAGTCACATTTGCCATCAGCAGCGCATGCCTTCTGTAACCAGTTCTGCTGCGCTTGCCTCTCCACAGCAGCACTGGCAGAAGCAGCAGCAGCAGCAGCAGCAGTACTGGCTGCAGCACCTTCACGTGGCCCAGAGAGCCGCCTTCACGACTTCAGCTAGCAGTGTTCCCAGTCACACCAGCACAGCAGGCTCGCCTGGTCCTGTCCTCTCAAGTCATTCTGCAGCGCCAACCCATGCTCGCACTTCAAGCAGTTGTTATAGCTCCAGCTCCGTCAGCCTAAGCAGTCAAACCAGTTCCACCAGCCCCACCAGCCCCACGCTTCAACACAGTCAGGCCAGTCAAACGAGCCCCACCAGTCAAACCAGCCCCACCAGCCCCACCAGCCCCACCAGTCAAACCAGCCCCACCAGCCCCACCAGTCTCAACAGTCAACCCAGTTCCACCCCTCCGAACGGCAGTGTTGTTCCAGCAGGCAACAAGCAACCGGATCAGTTCATACCAGTCAAGGCAGTCTACGTGGCAAGAAGGTACCTTAACTCTTAAACCCTCAATATTCTTAACTCTTAAAACTTGAGCGTTTATGCTCGTGAACCGAAATACATTTACCCATTTTACATCCAGCACGCGTTTGCAATGCTCCATGCCTGCTCTTAAGCCGAGTTGTCGGAGGTTCAGGGTTTGGGTTTTAAGGTGACATTTATTCACCATTGTTTTCCATCTGCATCCTAGATTCCACTGTCATCTTCTGTATGTGCCTGCCTGAATTCTCATCTCTATATACACGAAGTAGGGTGCGGGTGAGGCCCACAGGGGTTTCGGGGTTTAGTATGTTGTCTGTGCGGTGTTTCAAGAATCTCCCACTTTGCTCCCATCCATCCCACTTTGCCGCTGCCAGTCTGGACGTGAGGGGGCTGGCAAGTCCCAGTGGGTTCAGGGGCATGCAGCTGCTGCCCGCCAAGAACAATGTCATCATCCGCTTCCCCAACCGCTCCCTGCCTCTTCCCCTCCATGCTGCGCTGTCCAAGCCTGTGAGTGCCCTGTGGTGTGGGTGCTGTGTGTAGATGTCCCGAGGGTGTTGTGCGTGCGTTGGCATGCCGAATGTGTGCCATGAGCTGGTGGGTCCTTCGGGGTTCAGGGGCATGCAGCTGCTGCCCGCCAAGAACAATGTCATCATCCGCTTCCCCAACCTCTCCCTGCCTCTTCCCCTCCATGCTGCACTGTCCAAACCCGTGAGTGCCATTTCAGTGGTGTGTGTGTGGGTGGCGTGTCAGTGGGGTGTGGGTGCTTCTGGCATTGCATGTTGAGAAGAGGCGTTTAGCTGTTGCAATGCATGTAAGCTTCTGTTGCTGCTGCTGCTGCTGCTGCTGCTGCTTTTCTGCCAGCATCCCCGTCCATACCCGAAACTTCATCCACCGTGATGGCAATCGTCTGCATGTCCACACTCTCTGTCTCCTCTTAGGGCCCACTCCTCTGCGTTGTATGCCGGCGCTGGCGGCGCACAGTGCATGGAGGGAGGCATGTGTGGTGGGGCACCTGAGCGCTCCATTGGCTTCATGGTGGCGTTCCATTGGCTTCATGGTGGCGTTCCATTTGTGATGAGTCGGTTTTTGAGTCGACTCAAATGCCGGCGCTGGCGGCGCACAGTGCATGGAGGCATGTGTGGTGGGGCACCTGAGCGCGCTACATGGTGGCGTTCCATTACGGCTCCGTGCTATCGCCCCCCACCCTGCTACCTCCCCTTCCTACCATACATCCCATCCCATGCCCGTCTGTTTCGCCAGGGCATGGAGGCATGTGTACCAGCCAGCACCGGAGCGGTACATGGTGGCGTTCCACTGCAGCTCTTTGATCTTCCCTCCCGATGCCATGCCTCCTCTCCGCGCTTCTATCCCACCCATCCTCATGCTTATTTTCACCCCTTTCACCCTCAGGGCATGGAGGCATGCGTACCAGCCCCAGAGCGCTACATGGTGGCGTTTCATTACAGCTCCGTGCTCTTTCCTCCCCATCTTCCCTCCCCTTCCTTCCATGCACCCCATTCCCATACACCCCTGTCACCACCCTCAGGGCATGGAGGCATGTGTGCCAGCGCCCGAGCACTACATGGTGGCATTCCACTACGGCTCCGTGGTGTTCTTCAATTTTGACTCCCATCCCCGTCCCCAATACATTCCATCTCTGGGCTGATTCAATCCTATTCACCAGGGCATGGAAGCGTGTGTACCAGCGCCAGAGCGCTACATGGTGGCATTCCACTACGGCTCCGTGGTGTTCTTCAACTTTGACCGCACAGAGGAGGCGCTCGCCCTCGATATAGTCACGCAGCACTGCACTGGGGCGTTCAAGGAGGCACACAGCGACGGTGGGTTGAATGACCTCGATATAGTCTTGTCAGGCTGTGCTGTTTAGTGGCAAACATCAATGGTGGGTTCACTTTGCCATGATTGTAGCGTGTTCTTAGCCATTTCTGTGATGATTTCCCCCCTTTGTGCACACCGTGCAGGGTACTGTGTGATTGCACAGCACAGGCGGGTCGCAAGGGGTGGAGTGAGGGCGGGCATGACTGCGTGGCGGTGAGGCAGCTGAGTCGAAATCTCCTTTTACTGTCTTCCCTGTGTGTTCCCCTCTGCGCTGCCCCCCATGCTCTCCCATTCCCACACCACACAGAGTACAGTGTGATCGCTCGGGCTGGTCTAAAAGGATGGAGCGAGGGGGGGCATGACTACGTGGCGGTGCGGCAGCTGGACGTGAACAACATTCGAGTCATCTCCAGCATCCTCGGGCAGAGCGTGGCACTTGATCACTATGCACGCAAGGTGGGAGTGGGAAGAGGGAGGTTGGATACGGTGGACAACTTGCAGAATGAGCGCATGAGTGTGTGTGTGAGGTAGCTGGACGTGAACAACATTCGAATCATCTCCAGCATCCTCGGGCAGAGCGCGGCACTGGACGATTACGCATGCAAGGTGGGTGCAGTGTGGTGGAGTGTGGTGGTAGCGTTTGAGGCGCCCCAAAAGGACCTCTCAGCCTGGAAGCTGGGTGGAAGGGGTTGTTGCGTTGTGGGTGCGTGTGGGATCTTGGTCTCAACTGCGGCAGGTGGAGAGCAGGCACAGAGGTCCGTAGTTCTTAGTTCGTAGTTCGTAGTTCGTAGAGGCAGGTGGACATCAGGGGCACAGAGGTCCGTAGTTCACAATGAGTTCGCCCCTGCCTTCCCGTGCTCCGTTCATCCCCGCTATTAGGTTGACGAGATGGTGAACACGTTCAGTGAGTTGAATCGAGGCATGGAGCAGAGAGGCATGCTCACCATCACCCCTATTCAGGCCCCTTGGTCCCTTCCGCCTTCCCTAATCCCTCTTCATCTCCCTGCTGCCAGGTGGATGAGATGAATCGTTCAGTGAGCTGAATCGGGGCATGGAGCAGAGCGGCACATTCACCATGACCCCAACAGTTCCCTTGCTCCTCCTTGCCCTCTCTTGGTCCCCCTCTTCTCCCTGCTGCCAGGTGGACGAGATGGTGAACACGTTCAGTGAGCTGAATCGGGGCATGGAGCAGAGCGGAACCTTCACCATGACTCGCAAGAAGCTCTTCCAGCTTGTTGCCGCCGCCAACACCACCCTGGCTGACGTCATCCTCAGAATAGGGCTGCTGGAGAGGTGAGTCTTGTAGTTCTGCTTGGATCCTAAGCATTGCTTCCTTGCAAACACATATTTGTGAACTCTTTGCCCTGCCAGATCTGACACAGCGTGGCGGCATGCGGAGTACTCCAAGATCTGGGAGTTCCTGCGGGACGACTTTGAGCTCGACGAGCGCTTTGAGAGCCTCGACTTCAAGCTCAACATCATCCAGGTGACGCCCTCCACCATATACCACCCTCTCGTGCTGCTGCTGCTGCTGCTGCACTACTCCCGCTGCTGGTGTGTTTGTGGTGGTGCTGCTGCTCTCAATTGGTTGCTTTGTATGATGCCTGACTGGTTTGCTTTGTGCCCGATTCTTTTTCCATCTGCATTTCTTGTTTGGCAGCACAATGTGCGGTTCTTCTTGGATATCCTCCAAAACCGGAAGTCAGATACGCTTGAGTGGATTATCATCCTGCTAATTGCAGGTGAAATCTGTGTTAGTTTGTATGAGATAATTTTTAGATCCATGGAGAACTCTAAGTAGGAGGTAGCTATTTTTTTTGTTACGTTGATTGGTTTCGCGAGATGCTGTAGCAATAAATCAATGCATAAGTATGGGAGATTCACAAGGTGGAGATGTATTGAATATGAAACCGATAGGAAATATTTCCCTAATTTCAAATCTTCCGCTTCCGCGTATGGAGGTTGTTTGCATTTCTGAAATCGGATGCACTCGTAAGGAGGCTGGAAATTGGAATCACCTCAACTTTTTTCAAATCGTCGTGGTTTCCTGAATCAAGAATTCCGAATCTGTTTTGTGCGGGTCCCACTGCTGCAAGCTATGGCGGTGACGGCTCGCCGTGGACGCCGCTGCAGCCTCCTCCTGCTCTGCATTTCCGTAATCCTGACCGCCAAGGGATGTTCAAGCGCAGTGACAGAGAATGTGGCGACGTCGTCGCAAGGAAGCGACGTCGCACGAAGTGCTACAGTTCAGGGCTCGAATGCGACAGCCAAGCGAGGCGTTCCAGAGTCACTCGGATGGCTTATTTCCTCGTTTGGAGGAATCTTTGATGATGATAAAGAGGATAATTCGTTACCTGAATCCGCGCTAAAGGCAGATTCAGCTTCGAGCAATGGACACAAAGTCCCCGTCGATTCCGGAGGATCAGGTGCCACGGGGACAGCCGAAGATCTCTGGGATGAAACGAGTGCTGACGTGGATCCTCTGCTGCTGGAGGCTGGATGGGGGGATTATCTAAAGTGGATTGCGGATTCAGGGGGGGTGAATGCGACTACGGCGCTTCGAGCAGCCACGGGGAAAGGACCCACAAAGGTGGGTAACTTCTCGTTTTGGACAATTTAGTGGTTGGTCGTCTAGGTTTAAATTTCCACATCTGCTCCAATGGCTGTTGTTTGGGCAAATGATAAGCATCCAGTTTGGACGACAGCTGTAAAGCTGTGAACTTTAGACCCTTCGTGATCAATCCTTTCAGCTTGTTTCTGTTTCTGTTCCATAGTTGCAGCAATGCCCATCCTGAGCATGCGTGTCTAGGCATGACCTTGTTCAGTCCCTTCCTTTATGGTGCTTTTGGATGCTTTTACAAGAGTAAAGGTCATCTGGTACTACCCCAACCACTATGCATATCCTGACTTTTGGGACGTCTCAAAATTCAACTGGTTCCCCCCCAACCACTATGCGTATCCTCTGTGGCTTGACTGGGGCAACATTGCTTCAACATGCATCTCCTGTACTGCTTGGCATGTGGTGGCATGTGATGGCATGTGGTGGCATGTGATGGCATGGAATGGCATGACTACGCAGCTGCTGATGCTGAAGCAACGGTTTGTGCCCAAGCCACAACAGACAAAGCAGGAGGGGGATGAGAAGCCTGCAAAAGCTTCTAACGAGGATGAGTACATGTGAGTAGCTCCACCTGCCGTTACCTGACCATTCTTGTTGATACTGTTTCATTTTTTCTTTATTTCTCCCTTCCCCTGCGCCTCGCCTACACAGGCAACTCAAAAGACATGCCATTCTCTGCTCCCCTTGCATGCTCCCATCTCCATCCCATGCAGTTTCCTGCCGTCCCTGGTTACCACCCGCCCATTCTTTGGAAACAGCTGCTCTTCTCCCTCCTGCTGCACCGTGATTTCAGAGCCGCCTCACAAGTCACCTTGTTCTCTGTTCCCCGACTCTCCCAACCTCTCCCTCCTTCCCATGCAGGTTCCTGCCATCCCTGGTTACCACCCGCCCCATTCGCCGCCGCCAAGTGCTCTTCTCCCTCCCCCTTCGCCTCGCCTTCTCCTCCTCCCTCTGCGCCTCATCTCCCCCCTTCTCGGTCCCATCCCCATCCCTCCCTGCATCCCTCTCTGCTGAAGCCTCGCTTGCTGTCTGCGCCCTTTCCCACCTCCACTCATTCTCTTCCTCTTCCTCTTCCTCTTCCTCCTCCGCCTCCTCCTCCTCCTCCTCGTTCGCCTGGGCGCCATTCCTCCACCTGCTGATTCACCTGAATGCGGGCCAGCGCCGCGCACTGCCCATGATGCACGAGGGGGTGGGCATGCAGCCGGAGGTGCCCGAGGTGAGTGCAGTGCAGGCAGCATTTGAGTAGCTCGAAGCGTTTGAGGCAGTTGGTGAGGAAATGTAGGAATGCGGTGCTGTATTGGGATGGGTGTGCCTTAGTAGATGCTGCCATGCTGCCATGATGCCATGATGCCATGCTGCCATGCTGCCATGCTGCCATGCTGCCATGCTGCCATGCTGCCATGATGCCATGATGCCATGATGCCATGATGCCATGATGCCATGATGCCATGCTGCCATGCTGCCATGCTGCCATGCTGCCATGATGCCATGATGCCATGATGCGTGAGCGGCTGGGCATGCAGCCAGAGGTGGCAGAGGTGTGCATGCATGAGTGTGTTACTCCATCTCTTTTATGCGCACCCATGCCAGCGTACAATACAGTGGAAGGATCACTCCCCCCACCCGCTCCCTCCCCCTCTCCCGGGCCTCCCACCTCGCAGGCAGAATTACTGAGGCAGCCAGCAGTACGAGGGTGAGTAGACGGTATGGCAGCAGGCGACACTCAAGAATCCACCACGCGTAGTGAGCCAGCAGCTCAAGGCTCACTACCTCCTCGCCCTCCTCCCTCCTCTCTTCCTCGCTCCCCCTCTCACCACCCAGGCAGAAGCACTGAGGCAGCAATACGAGGGCGAGTACACGGCATGGCAACAAGCCACTGTCAAGAAGCCGCCAGCATACAAGTCCCGCCGCAAGCCCAAGCCCAGCCCGTCCCAGCACGACGACAATGCTCAGAACCCCACAGGGATTGCTGGGAGTGCCGTGACTCAGGAGGAGTTTCTTGGTGCTGTCACCACTGCCCTCGTCTCTGCCATCCCCCTGCCCTCCGCCGCCCTCCATGCCACCACCAACCCCTCTGCGACACCCACTCGCGCTGAAAGGCAGTGCAGTGCGAGCGATTATTCTGCTGGTGCCCGTACGTGCTCAGGGGATGAGACGCGGGGAGGAATGGAGGAGGATGGGGAGGAGGAAGGGGAGGGGGATGGGAGGTATGAGCTGGCGTTTGTGCCTCTCATGCACCTGCTGGGGCGAGCAGGGAGAGGATCCGTTGCAGATATAGTGCTGGCGGATGAAGGGGTGGAGACAAATGGGACGGAGACTGGGAGTGGGCAGAAGGGAGGGGATGGGAATGGGGATGCGGATGGGGATGGGGATGGGGATGCTGATGCGGAGGTTGATGCGCCGAACGTGCAGTGGGAGGTGGTGGGGGGGTCGATTCGTGTGGTTGCGACGCAGCCCATTGCCAACGACGCGCCTCTGCTGCTGCCGCTGGATGGCGGGCTGTCGGGTCATTTCAGAGAGGCGCAGAAGGCCAGAGAGAGGAGGATGAAGGCGAGGAGGCAGAGGAGGAGCGAAGAGAAGGACGGGCAGAGGAGAGAGCAGGCCGAGGAAACAGACAAGCAGCAGCAGCAGCAGCAGCAGAGAGAGGGAAAGGAAAAGGAGGAGGAGGAGACGGAAGATGCTGGGGAGGAAGGGTACTTAGAGCAGCGTTGGGCAAGGGAAAGCAACAGGTGGCAGGGAGCAGGAGCAGGACAGGTGGGCAAGGAAAAAAAACAGTTGCAGCTCCACAAGAGAAATACATTGAAGCTTCCCCAGCCATCACTGATCCACGCCACACCTCTCTCTAATACCGATGCATTCACCTACTTTGGTGTCGCCCCCAAATCGCTCTTCCTCGCCCAGTTCCCCCTCTTCGACTCCCCTCTTGCTGTCCTGCAAGCCGCTGCCACGCAAGTGCCGCCTGATTTTGATCCTGATGCAATCGAATCCCAGCTCAAGATTGCAGAGATCGGCGCGAAGATTCTCCGGGCGGTGCGGAGGGTGAAGAGGAGGGTGGTTAAGGCGGTGGTGTGGGGGAGCAGGGAGGAGAGGGAGAGGCTTGGAGTGAGGGAGGAGATTGTGGAGAAAGTGAGAGTGTGGGAGATGAGGCGGGAGACGAGGGAGAGGATGGGGTTGGAGAAGACACAGGGAGGAGGAGGGAGCGAGGAGGTGGGTGTGCGAGGAGAAGAAGGGGAGGAGGAAGGTGGGGAAGGGGAGGATAGGGAGGATGGGGAGGAGGGGCAGGGAGGGCAAGGGGGGCAGGGAGGGGTGGATGTGTCATGGTTGGAAGGGCCGGCGCTGCATGTGTACTCGCTGGGGCTCATGGACCCCGAGATGGTGGCTTACCTCACTGCCTTCACCTACTTCTTCGCCACTAAGGAGGGTGAGATTTGAGACACACGGGAGGGGGAGCTGGGGCAAAGGGGGATGGATGTGCCATGGCTGGATAGGCCGGCACTGCATGTGTCTCATGAATCCCGAGATCGTGGCTGACCTCACTGCCTTAACCTATTTCTTCACCACAAAGGAAGGTGAGTATTTCTGTCATGGAGGAAGGATGGGAGTCGTTTCAGCCAGGGGGAAGGGTTTCTGAGAATTCCAAAAGTCCAGCTCTAATTGAGCTTTGAGTCGGCTCGATTGTCATGCACGCCTTGGGTTTGAGACAAAAGCCCGAGACAAAAGTCAGCTCTTGAGGATCCTCAAAATCCCCTGGATGTGGTGCTGTGCCGTTGCCATGCCTGCCGTTGCCATGCCTCACTTTTCTCACCCTCTTCTTTGCCGCAACAATGGAGGTTGAGTGAGTCTGTGTCGTTTTTGTCGCATTGCCACGTGGGAGGGTGAGAGTTGCCTTTTGCACAGAGGAGGGTTGCAACTGCTACAGTTACTGCAGCACCTCCTTTTGCCCTTTCTTCCCTCTCTGCCCCCTTTTCTCCCACCAGAGCCGCACTACAGCTTCTTTGCTCGAGTGAGCGTGGCCTATGCGTGGAACCTCGACGGCAAAACCACCTGCACGCACATGCCCCTCATCTCCTCCTCCTTCCCCTCATCCTCCTCATCATCCTCCTCCTCCAACCACTCCTCCAACCCCCTCCACATCTCCCTCGCCGAGTTTCCCCAGCGGGACCACCTGCTCTCCGCCCTCACGCCCGTGCTGAGGCTGGTGGCGAGCACGCTAAGAGAGCTGGTGGAGGCGCACTTAGCTAAGTACCAGGGCTCGGTGCAGGAGGACGCCATGTCGCTGTATTACGTGCCCTTCTGCCGCGTGTGGCAGCGCGCTGGAGTGAAGCAGCCCGAAAAGATTGTTAAGGTGAGGCGTGGGGAGGGGTGGGAAGGGGTGGAGAGGGGTGGAGAGGGGTGGAGAGGGGTGGAGAGGGGTGGAGAAGGGGTGCGCGAGTACCAGGACTCGGTGCTGGAGGAAGCCATGTCGATTTGTTACGTGCCTTTCTGTCGCGTGTGGCAGCGCGCTGAAGTTTGCAGCGCGCTGAAGTTTGCAGCGCGCTGAAGTTTGCAGCGCGCTGAAGTTTGCAGCGCGCTGAAGTTTGCAGTGCGCTGAAGTTTGCAGTGCGCTGAAGTTTGCAGTGCGCTGAAGTTTGCAGTGCGCTGCAGTTTGCAGTGCGCTGAAGTTTGCAGTGCGCTGAAGTTTGCAGCGCGCTGAAGTTTGCAGTGCGCTGAAGTTTGCAGTGCGCTGAAGTTTGCAGTGCGCTGAAGTTTGCAGCGCGCTGAAGTTTGCAGTGCGCTGAAGTTTGCAGTGCGCTGAAGTTTGCAGTGCGCTGAAGTTTGCAGTGCGCTGAAGTTTGCAGTGCGCTGAAGTTTGCAGCGCGCTGAAGTTTGCAGTGCGCTGAAGTTTGCAGTGCGCTGAAGTTTGCAGTGCGCTGAAGTTTGCAGTGCGCTGAAGTTTGCAGCGCGCTGAAGTTTGCAGTGCGCTGAAGTTTGCAGTGCGCTGAAGTTTGCAGTGCGCTGAAGTTTGCAGTGCGCTGAAGTTTGCAGTGCGCTGAAGTTTGCAGCGCGCTGAAGTTTGCAGTGCGCTGAAGTTTGCAGTGCGCTGAAGTTTGCAGTGCGCTGAAGTTTGCAGTGTGCTGAAGTTTGCAGTGCGCTGAAGTTTGCAGTGCGCTGAAGTTTGCAGTGCGCTGAAGTTTGCAGTGCGCTGAAGTTTGCAGTGCGCTGAAGTTTGCAGTGCGCTGAAGTTTGCAGTGCGCTGAAGTTTGCAGCGCGCTGAAGTTTGCAGTGCGCTGAAGTTTGCAGTGCGCTGAAGTTTGCAGTGCGCTGAAGTTTGCAGTGCGCTGAAGTTTGCAGTGCGCTGAAGTTTGCAGTGCGCTGAAGTTTGCAGTGCGCTGAAGTTTGCAGTGTGCTGAAGTTTGCAGTGCGCTGAAGTTTGCAGTGCGCTGAAGTTTGCAGTGCGCTGAAGTTTGCAGTGTGCTGAAGTTTGCAGTGTGCTGAAGTTTGCAGTGCGCTGAAGTTTGCAGTGTGCTGAAGTTTGCAGTGCGCTGAAGTTTGCAGTGCGCTGAAGTTTGCAGTGCGCTGAAGTTTGCAGTGCGCTGAAGTTTGCAGTGCGCTGAAGTTTGCAGTGCGCTGAAGTTTGCAGCGCGCTGAAGTTTGCAGTGCGCTGAAGTTTGCAGTGCGCTGAAGTTTGCAGTGCGCTGAAGTTTGCAGTGCGCTGAAGTTTGCAGTGCGCTGAAGTTTGCAGTGCGCTGAAGTTTGCAGTGCGCTGAAGTTTGCAGTGTGCTGAAGTTTGCAGTGCGCTGAAGTTTGCAGTGCGCTGAAGTTTGCAGTGCGCTGAAGTTTGCAGTGTGCTGAAGTTTGCAGTGCGCTGAAGTTTGCAGTGTGCTGAAGTTTGCAGTGCGCTGAAGTTTGCAGTGTGCTGAAGTTTGCAGTGCGCTGAAGTTTGCAGTGCGCTGAAGTTTGCAGTGTGCTGAAGTTTGCAGTGCGCTGAAGTTTGCAGTGCGCTGAAGTTTGCAGTGCGCTGAAGTTTGCAGTGTGCTGAAGTTTGCAGTGCGCTGAAGTTTGCAGTGTGCTGAAGTTTGCAGTGCGCTGAAGTTTGCAGTGTGCTGAAGTTTGCAGTGCGCTGAAGTTTGCAGTGCGCTGAAGTTTGCAGTGCGCTGAAGTTTGCAGTGCGCTGAAGTTTGCAGTGCGCTGAAGTTTGCAGTGCGCTGAAGTTTGCAGTGCACTGAAGTTTGCAGTGTGCTGAAGTTTGCAGTGCGCTGAAGTTTGCAGTGCGCTGAAGTTTGCAGTGCGCTGAAGTTTGCAGTGTGCTGAAGTTTGCAGTGCGCTGAAGTTTGCAGTGTGCTGAAGTTTGCAGTGCGCTGAAGTTTGCAGTGTGCTGAAGTTTGCAGTGTGCTGAAGTTTGCAGTGCGCTGGAGTGAAGCAACTAGAGAAGATCGTCAAGGTGAGTGGTCATTGTGTTGGGTAGGAGGAAGGGGGAAGAAAGGGGTGTTTGTGCCAAATGCTGCGTGTGGCAGCAGGGGGGAGGGCAGCAGCTGGAAAAGAGGAGAGTGATATGGTGGGGGTGGGTGAAGGGTGCTGGGAGTGAGTTTGGAGAGGTGGGGTGGGAGCGAGGTAAGAGGCGCACTTAGCTAAAAACACGGGATTCAGTGTGCAGGGGGACGCCATGTCACTCTACTACAGCACGCACTCTCTCCTATACATGCCTTCTTCCCCCTTCCCCACAAAGATCTTCCCCCTTCCCCACAAAGGTCTTCCCCCTTCCCCACAAAGGTCTTCCCCCTTCCCCACAAAGGTCTTCCCCATATACGAGCCGTGGATGACGACGGGATTAGAGGAGGTGGAGCACGTGGTGCAGCAGCACCTCATGTCCCAAGCAACTGTTTTTTCCCTCAGGCCTTTCTTCTCCCCACTATCCCCCCTTTTGTAAGGTCTGTGATGTGAGCCGTGGATGATGACCGGACTGGACGAGGTGGAGCACGTGGTGCAGCGGCACCTCAAGTCTAGGGCCGCCAATCGTTCCCTCTGCCCTCTTCTCCCTCTGCCATACCACCTCGTTTCTATTCCCCATCAGATCTGCGAGCCGTGGATGATGACGGGGTTGGAGGAGGTGGAGCACGTGGTGCAGCGGCACCTCAACCAAAAGCAGCTGCTCGTGGAGGCCTCTGATTGGCTGCTGCTCTCCTGCGACCCACGCTACGACCTGCACCTGGGGGAAACAAGGAGCTGGGCGGCAGGGGAGGGAGAGGGAGCGGGGGATGGTGTCGAGGGGGAGGGTGAGGAAGGGAGGGAAGGGAAGGAGGCGAAGGGAGGGGAAGGGGAGGTGGAGCAGAAGAGGGGAGGAGGAGGGGGTGTGGTGGAAGAGGAGGGAGGGGAGGCAGGGGAGGTGGAGGATGATGAGGAGAGGAAGCTGAGGGCGTTTATAAAGTGGGTGCAGCAGAGAGGCATCAAGGAGTATGGCACGGATGAATCACCTCTCAAGGTGAGTGAGCCACTCGAGGCTAGTTCCATCCATGTTCGAACATGTTGGTAGCGCGTTCCATGTTCGAACATGTTTGTAGCGCGTTCCATGTTCGAACATGTTTGTAGCGCGTTCCATGTTCGAACATGTTGGTAGTGCGTTCCATGTTATTGGTGGGGATATCCAGGCCACCATTTCAGAACTCACTTGCTCTCAACAAAAGTGTTTTTCGGTTGAGCCTAGCCTGCCGCAGTTTCATTTCACTGTTTTGAGACGTCTCAAAACACTTGTTTTTCACGTGTTTCACGTGTTTTTCGGTTGAGCCTGCCGCAGTTTCATTTCACTGTTCGTTGCGACACGCTTTCTCCTTCCTCAACTTTCCTCCCCGCTCTTCCCCTTGTGTCATCCCTCTTATTGGCAGTTTCATTTCTATGACCATCGTGACGTGGCACCCTCCTTGACTAACACCTCAGATCCCTCTGCTGCCACCAACGCCTCTGCCAAGCCACATGTCAGGTGAGCAGTGTGACACGTGTCAGGTAAGCATCCTGCCACGTGTAAGGTGTGCAGTGTGGCACACGTGAGGCTAAGCATTCTGCCACGTGTCAAGTGTGTGCGGCGTGATACATTTCCAGTCAGCATTCCATCACGTGTCAGGTGTGCAGTCACATGTCACTTAAAGCTGTGGTCTACATACTAAGTGGTGTTTTTTGGGTGTATTTTTTATGCCAACCCTTTCGTGCGGCCTGATTGGAGAACGAAGTCAGCATGTTTCAGAAACACCGCAGCAGACAAACTCAGACAGGAAACGCGAATCCAGCCCAATTTCGTGCTGACGGGTGGTTTGGAGGAGGGTCTGCGGAAGGGCGGGAAACAACCTGGGGAGTTCGGTTTCGTGCGGAAAGAGCCCCAACCCCCTCTCTCCACCCCTCTCAACCGTTAACTTTGCAGGAAAGGGGGCCGAGTCCAAAAACTGGTCACCCTGTTTTCAAGTGATAATCTCAGCCCTTCCGCTCGGAGTATGTAGGCCGCAGCTTTAAGGATGCTGCCACGTGTCAGGTGTGCAGTGTGACACATTTATAGTAAGAATTCTGCCACGTGTCTCAACTCGTCCCACTGTGGTCCTGCCTGGGATGCCCAGCAAGCGCCAGATGAGCATGGTGGCGGGAAGGGGCATGCACGAGGGAGAGGTGCTGCCCGTTTCCGATTACTGTCATTCCATCTTATCTCTGTCCATCACCTCCTTTACCTCTCTCTGCTTCTCTGTCTCCTGCCATGTCGTGCCACGCCAGGCGGCGGATGAGCATGGTGGCGGGGCGGGACGTGCACGAGGGGGAGGTGCTGCTCGCTTCTGATTCCTGTCATTGCTGCTATTCCCATCAATCACCCGCTTTGCTTCCCTCTGCCTCTACTGTCTCCTCACGTCACGCTAGGCGGCAGATGAGCATGGTGGCAGGGCGGGACGTGCACGAGGGGGAGCTGATTTCTGATTTTTGGCGTGCAGGAGGGGGAGCTGATTTCCATTATCTCTCCACCTCTCTGTCTCCTACCATGTCGTGCCACGCCAGGCGGCAGATGAGCATGGTGGCGGGGCGGGACGTGCACGAGGGGGAGGTGCTGCTCACCATTCCGCAGTCGCTGTGGATCACAGCAGAGGTCGCAGCAGAGGAGATGCCGCCCCACACAGGTACCCCTTTGCACCGCATGGTACCGCATTGCAGCACATTGCACCGCGTTGAACTGACAGTCATGCTGGAATGAGGGAGGGAGGCGCAGGGGGGAGGTGCTGCTCACCATTCCGCCCTCCATTCCGTTCCCCCATGGCACACCAGGGCCGGTGAACATCCAGGTGGCCATGGTGGCGTGGCTGCTGCGAGAGAACTTAAAGCAGTTTCCCCTCCGGCACGCCTCCTTTCCTTGTGAAACAGGCGCTTCAAACGTGTGCATTTCTCCTCCCCTCCCCTGGCACACCAGGGCCAGTGGACGTCCAGGTGGCCATGGTGGCGTGGCTGCTGCAGGAGAAGGTGAGGGTAGGCGGGTTGACCACCTCCCCTTTCTATAAAACGAGTGCGAAAGCATGTGCGTTCCTCCTACTCTTCCTCCCTTCCATTTTTTCACTCCTCGCAGGCCCGGTGGACATCCAGGTGGCCATGGTGGCGTGGCTGCTGCGGGAAAAAGTTCTTACTTGCTTGCGAACCCCATGTTCAATCCCCCTCTGCTCCTCCATGGTACACCCACCAGGGCCAGTGAACATCCAGATGGCCATGGTGGCGTGGCTGCTGCAGCGGGGAAGTGCTTCTGTCCTTGCTTGCTTGAACCCTTGTGTAGGAGCCTGCCTCCTCTAATCTGCTGTCCCTGCCACTCGCCACAGGTCCGGTGGACACCCAGGTGGCCGTGGTGGCGTGGCTGCTGCGGGTGAGGTGCTTGCTTGCTTGCTGGAGGGCTTGCATTCATGCGTGCAGAACCCTTGTGTAAGACCCTGCCGCCTCCGTTCTGCCTTCCCTGCCACTCGCCACAGGTCCGGTGGACACCCAGGTGGCCACGGCGCCTTATGAAGTGCCTCAAGATACGTGCGTTCCCCCTCCCTTCCCTGCCACTCCTCACAGGTCCGGTGAACACTCAGGTGGCCATGGTGGCGTGGCTGCTGCGGGAGAAAGTGCTGGCTTGCAGAACCCTTGTGTACGAGCCTGCCCTCTCCAAGCTGCCTTCCCTGCCTGCTCCACTCTTCCTCCCCTGCCACTCGTCACAGGGCCGGTGAACACCCAGGTGGCCATGGTGGCGTGGCTGCTGCGGGAGAAGGCACGGGGGAGGCAGTCGGAGTGGTGGCCCTACATTGACATCCTGCCGCCCTATGTGCCACTGCCCCACCGCTTCCGTAACGACTCCCTGGACGAGGCTCAGTCCGACCTCCTCAAGCTACTGGTATGCATGCATGCACTTGACTCGGTCGGTTACTGTGATTTCTCAAGAGGCTGCTGGCGACCCTACATTGACATCCTGCCGCTCAATGTGCCGCTGCCCTCCCGCTTCCACAATGATTGCCTTGCGAGGCTCAGTCCGACCTCCTCCTCCCGTTACTCGTGCCGTGCCGTGCTGCCGTGCCTTGGCACTCGTTGATTATCGGAAATACTTCAAAGACAGGTGCCTCATCCCGCCGCCCTATGTCCCTGCTGCTGCCCCCTCGCTTCTGTGATGACTCCCTGGAAGATGATCAGTCCGACCTCCTCAAGCTACTGGTATATGCCTTAGTGGCTTGGTAATGGTACGTGCTGCAATGAGTGTGCATTTCCTGCCGCATCCAGTGCAGTCATCCTTGCTCAAGCAACTGGAAGGTGTTGCGGTTGCTCCGTGCGGTTACTCCGTGCGGTTGCTCCGTGCGGTTTCTCCGTGCGGTTGCTCCGTGCGGTTGCTCCGTGCGGTTGCTCCGTGCGGTTGCTCCGTGCGGCTGCTCCGTGCACATGGCGTCGGTGGGCTGTCGTTGCAGGTGCTGCAGCACGGCCGACCCCTTCCATTCCATACTTGTCACGAATAGCCTTTACCGTGCTGCCACCATAGCCAACCGCTGCGTGCCTGACTGAGGACTATTTCATTGCCATCTCTCCTAACCCTCTCCATCCCTCTCCATCCTTCACCATCCCTGCCCATCCCTTTCCACCCCGCTCCCAGGTCCTCGAGCAGAGGGAGATGACATGGCTGGAGTACAAGCAGGTGCGGCCACCCGCCATGGCGTTTGCATCATTCGACGACTAATGTGGGCGCACTCCATCCTTGAATCTCGTGCCTTCTCCATGCCCTCTCTCCATCTTCCTCTCCATTCCTCTCCATCCCTCCCTTCATCCTGACCTCACCCAATCATAGGTCCACCAACAAAGGGAGGTGGCCCTGATGGAGTACAAGCAGGTGCGGCCGCCTGCCATGGCGTTTGCATCATTCGACGACTACATGTGGGCGCACTCCATCCTCGACTCGCGCGCCTTCTCCGTCCCCATCAAGGAGCTCTCTGGCCTCGACCTTGAAGTCGCCGCCGCGGGGGAATCTCAGGACTTGAGAGGCGGGAGTGAGGGGGATGAGAAGGAGAAGAGGAGGAGGGCGAGGGAGCGGCGGAGGGCGATGGCGAACGCACCGGGGGAGCTGGTGGAGGCGGTGAACGAGGCGGTGGGGGTGCTGCACGAGTCGCCCCGCCGTGTGGTGCGCGGCGTGGGCATGGCGCTTATTACTGCGGCCGAGCTGCTGGACCACCAAATCAACTCCTCCATTCAGTACAACGTGAGTGGTGGCTCACAGTGAGTGTGTGAGTGAGTGGCTGGTATAGTGTGGCTTGCACACGATCAACGAGGCTGCGGGAGCAGGGTCATCCTCTGGCACAAGGGCAAGGGTGTCGCTCTTGCACCGGGCGAGCTGGAGAGGCGAGAGGCGATGGGGTGCTGCGCCTTTTGAGGCACCTTAAAAGTCCTTTTGAAGCGCCTCAAAAGTCCTTTTGCGGCCCCTCAAAAGGCGAGAGGCGACTGGGTGCTGCGGCATTCGTCGCGCCGTGTGGTACTCACTGTAAGTGCTTTACTTTACCTTATATTTGGTACTCAGTATAAGTGTGTAACTCCAATTTTATGTGTGTTACTTACCATAAGTGTGTAGTTTTGTTCTCACTATATGTGCTTTACTATTATCTTTAGCACTCACTGTAAGTTCGTTAGTTAACCTTATGTTTGGTTCTCAGAGTAAGTTCGTCCCGTCGTCACCCCCCCCTTCCCCGGGGGGCAAATCACGGACCACGCTGGGAACACAACACGCCATGCTCAACATCTCACGAGGCACAGAAGCGCACTTTGCTACAGCCTATGCTTCCCTTCGGACTCCCTCGTTTCCCCCTCCCCTCCCCTCTTCCCCCTCCTCCAGATAACACATCAATTTGAGTACATAGGCATGGTCAACGTTTCAGCAGGATCGGAGCTCGCCACATCGTACGGCCCCAAGACCAACGACCAGCTGCTCGCCACCTACGGCTTCGTTCTCGATGCCAACCCCTTCGATGGCGCACCCCTCTTTGAGAACCTGACTGAGGCCGTGGGTGTGGTGGCGGCGCTGCTGGCGAATGGTGGGCGCGGAGTAGGGGGTAGGAGAGGGGAAGGGAGCGGGAAAGAAGGGGAGGGTGACGGTGGTGTGGTGGTTGGCGTGCTAGCAAGTGAAGGGGCGAGGGAGTTGGAGGAGATTGGGGGAGAAGGGGAGAGGAAAAGGGAGAGTGAGGTGTATTCGGGGGAGGTGTATCCGGGGGAGGTGGAGCTGAAGAGGGCTCTGGAGGAGATCTGGCTGACTGAAGAGCCGCCGGCTGCACAGGCAGCTGACGGTGCTGATGGTAGCAGCAGTGGTGGCAGTAGCAGTGGGGGTGAGGTTAGCACCAGCAGCAGCGGCAGCAATGGTGGCGACAGCACCAACAGCAGTGGCGGCAATGACGGCAGCAGCAGCAGCAGTAGCAGCAGCACCCCTCACGTCCCAACTCCCAGCAAATGGACACCCTCAGGAGCATCAGGCAAGGCTCTATACCGCGATCTGCTGAGGGTGGCAGCAAAAGCAGTAGCAGCGGTGGTGGCGGAGGGAGAGGATGGGAACTACACTGACGTGCTCAAAATGCCCCAGTATAACCTCAAGCAGCGCGTGAACGAGGCCGCGTGGAAGCGAGTGGGCAGGCGCAGCAAGGGGGAGAGGAGGAGGACGGGAGCCTCTGGGAGCGGCGGCGGTGGTGGTGCTTCTGGTGTTGCTGGTTCTGACGGTGGGCGTGGGGGTGATGGTGTGGAGGGAGAGAGTGGGGACGATGGGGAGGATGAAGAGGTAGAGGGGAGGAAGAAAGATGAGAAGGAGAGGATGGCTGAAGAGCAGGAGGTGGCGGTGTGGGCGTATGGGGTAGTGGAGCCCACTCTCCTGGCGTCACTAGCAGCCATGTGGCACGTCGTGCACTACGAGCAAGGTGCGTACGTGGGTGAGAGTGTTCTCCGCTTACACTAGGTTCCGTGCAGAGCACCTTAGAAAACTACGGTGTTTTTGGCTTCTCAAGAGTGTGGGCATACGGGATAGTGGTGCCCACTCTCCTGGCATCACTAGCAGCCGTGTGGCGCGTCGTGCACTACGAGCAAGGTGAGTGTGCATGGTCAAGAGTGCTGCTCTTGAACAGTGGAGTCCCAGGTTGGAGCCATGTCTTTACGTGGCAGCCACTTGTCTAGCTAAAAGGTAAAAGTAGTTGGCACTTCGTGCACTACGAGCAAGGTGAGTGTGCATGGTCAAGAGTGCTGCTCTTGAACAGTCACTGTAAGGACTCTGCTGGGCTAGCAGCCATGCGGGACCTCGTGCATGTGAGCAAGGTGAGTACACTCGTCGTGAGCACCTTGGGCAGGTGCGCTGGCCGTGGCCTCTCTCGTCTTATGTCGAATCCGTTGTTTGATTCTCTCTCAAAAACCAGATCATAAGCCAGGCGTGCTGTTCGTGGACCAGATCATTAGCCAGGCGTGCTGTTCGTGGACCAGATCATTAGCCAGGCGTGCTGTTCGTGGACCAGATCATTAGCCAGGCGTGCTGTTCGTGGACCAGATCATTAGCCAGGCGTGCTGTTCGTGGACCAGATCATTAGCCAGGCGTGCTGTTCGTGGACCAGATCATTAGCCAGGCGTGCTGTTCGTGGACCAGATCATTAGCCAGGCGTGCTGTTCGTGGACCAGATCATTAGCCAGGCGTGCTGTTCGTGGACCAGATCATTAGCCAGGCGTGCTGTTCGTGGACCAGATCATTAGCCAGGCGTGCTGTTCGTGGACCAGATCATTAGCCAGGCGTGCTGTTCGTGGACCAGATCATTAGCCAGGCGTGCTGTTCGTGGACCAGATCATTAGCCAGGCGTGCTGTTCGTGGACCAGATCATTAGCCAGGCGTGCTGTTCGTGGACCAGATCATTAGCCAGGCGTGCTGTTCGTGGCCTCTCTCGTCTTACGCACGCTGCTGGCGTCGCTGGCAGCCATGCAGCATTTGATGCGCGCGCTTTTTGAGAATTGTCAAAAAACACATCTGATGCGCTGCTATTGAGAAAGGCAAGTATTGTGCTTCTTCTTAAAGAGGGCTGTTCTTGAACAGTCATCTTACGCACGCTACTGGCGTCGCAAGATACCATGTGGCATGGCATCTGGTGCACTGCGCGCAATTGAGTGCATACATGAACTCTAGGCCTACGCACCCAGCTGGCGTCACTAGCAGCTATGTGGCGCATCATGCACTGCGAGCAAGGTGTGGGCATGCCTGGTCAAGAGTGCTGGCCTCTGTGCTGTACGGTTGGGGCGTCTCTTCCAACAACAGGACCTGCCTGCACTCCCTGCCACGCAGCTCGCCTTTGTCCTTCCTTCCCCCTTCCTCTCCTCCCCCTTTCCCCACCAGAGCCCAACTATGCTCAGCTGGTGCTTGGTTCTGTGCTGTATGGCTGGGGTGCATTTGCCAACAAAGTACCTACTTGAACCTCCTGCCAAAAATCTCCTCTCCCCTTCCCACCCCCCACCTTCCCCCTTTTCCCCACCAGAGCCCAACTATTCTCAGCTGACGCTGGGCTGTGTGCTGTACGGTTGGGGCGTTTCTTCCAACAACAGGACCTCCTGGCACCTCCTGCCTATCAATCTGCCTTTTCCCATCCCTCCCATGCCCCCCTCCCTTTTTTCCCCACCAGAGCCCAACTATGCTCAGCTGGCGCTGGGCTGTGTGCTGTACGGTTGGGGCGTCTCTTCCAACAACAGGACCTGCCTGCACCTCCTGCCAAACTACTCCACCCTTATGCCTGCTGTGGTCGCCGCGGCCGACACCATTCATCTTCTAGCAGAGTACCGTCTGGCTCGGTACCCCACCACCATGGAAGAGGACAACACTGTGCTTCGGAAGCTGCAGTCCTGCCAAGCCTGGGGCAAAGGCTTGGCGGGAGGCTCGGCAGGAGAAGGAACAGCAGGGACGGGATTATCCGGGGAGGGTTCGAAATCCGGAAAGGAGGAGAGGGAGAACAGGGAGGATCGGAAGGTCGAGGAAAAGGGCAAGGGGGGAACGGAGGACAAAGTAGAGGACAGAGAAGAGGGCAAAGAGGCGAGGGGAAAGGAGGAGTTTCATGCGTGGTGTGTGCCTATCTTACCAGTGGTGGAGGAGCGGATGGTGCTGGTGAGGTACCGCCGGCACAAGAAGAAAGTGTTGCAATCCGTGGCATCCCGCCTCCACCGCACCTGCGTGCTCCCCTCCCTCACTGCTGCTCGTGCTGCTCCCCCCGGTGCTGGTCACGGTGCTGGTGGCTCGGACCGCACTGATTCGCCTGAAGCTGATCCAGCCGAAGCTGTGGTTGGGGAGATTGCGTAGGTGCCTGGTTTGGCTGGTGATCAGGTTGGAGTTGCTGGGAATAAGATCTAGGATAAGTAGCTTGGGGCTGACGAAGGGTGGCTGGTGACTGGGGGGTATGAGTTTCTTGAATGCTATCAAGTTGCAATGTAGTTATGTGAGTAGAGGGGAGAATGAGGTATGTGGTAGTAAGTTGGCACACCTGCTTCGGATACTGGAACAGTCTGCATATGCGCAATTGGAGCTAGAGTCTCATCTATGATTCCGCCACTAACAAAACCAAATAAACGGTTTGAAGGCCCTCAAAGGCCAAAATGGTCTTGAATTGTTGTACCATGTTAGATTATATGCGCCGTCACCAAATCACGATCTGCGAAGTGTTCGGTGTAATCCAGTCTGAATCAGTCAAAGTGCGTCAATAGCTCTTCCACGTCCTCCTTCCAATGGGAGAGGGTTGACCAAAGAAGACCTACCAGCCTACCAACTACCCTCGATCAGACTTGCTGGCGCCACTTCTGTTGCCACGTCGGCAAAGCGCAGCTTTTCGGGAGGGATGAGGGGACAAGTTTTGCGGGGCACGTCCAAACTACCATCCCATCCCATCCCATTCCACTGCTCCTTGCAATATAACAGGGTCTGGTGGTTGCGACCTAACCTAAACCTAACTATCCTTGCAGCTTCTCTTCAGCCACACCAGATATTCCGCTATTGCATTTTTCATTGCAAACAGCCAGCCTCGGTTTTCCCCGTGCGACAACCATTACATAAGAATCAGCGCGTCGCGAGAAACATCCGGAAGTTCCGCGCGTTGCGGACGCTTAAAACGTTCGCGATTACCGCAGACTCCACGACTCGGCCCGCGACGAGCTCCCCCACCTCCCCTTTCGTTCTTCCCCTCTGTCATTGAGACGTCTCAAAAGTCTCAGTGTCGCATTCTCCCCGTACGCTGCTCGTCTCCTCGTTACCGCCCGCATTCCCGTCCTGCGCACGCGTCTCGCAGCACCATGGTGAGCCCCAGCAGGCCTCGTTTTAGTCACATCTCGCTTCTAGATCCCTGAGGCGCCCCAAAAAACCATTACATGGCCTAGGCCGCGCTGTAGTCACGCCCCTGCGTTCTGGATAATTCGAGGCGTCTCATAACGCATTTTTCAGCCCGTTCTTGTCCGCTTTCATGCCCGTTTCATGTCCGTTTCATCTCTGTTTAATCTCCCTTCCCCCCATGTACCTCAGAAGGTGCACGCACCAGTACGGAATGGCCATTCCATGCCACGCCTCCTTCTCCTCTCCCTCCTCTGCACGGCGTTCCTACCCATCGGGATCGTCGCGCAATCTACGCTAGCAGAACAACGACTGTCGCAGGAAGGGGAAATCGCACGAAGAGACAGAACACTGCATAATATTAGTGTCATGGGTTCCGCGCTTCTTCCAAAGAGTCACCGACGAGCGTTGCTGCTGCGAGGAGGGGAGGGGATCGCGTCAATTGATTTGGATGCAGGTGCGACCCAGGTAGCACATAGTGAAGGTGACTAACCGGGGAAGGTAGCATGTGGTCAAGGTCCCACCTTTTTTGTGCAAACGTCTGACGTCACGTCGTACCATAACACTACTCTTCCACCTTGCTCCTCGTTATGCCATGCAGGTGCGTGTACCGAGCTGCCTTGTAATGAGTTGGTGAAGCGTCGGTGCAGAATCGTGGATCTGGGCAAAGGTGCCCTGTTTCTCTGTGGTAACCAGACCGATGGCGTTATAAGCGAAGGAAGCGACAGCACGATTGATACCGGTATTCCCTCCGTCACCCCCCACTGTTTCTCTTCCGTGTTCTCCCACCATTCCATTTCTCTGCATCCCCTGCTCTAACATTCCCCTTTTCTCGACCCTTGAGCATTCCCATTCCTATTCCACTCCCACTTCCCTTGCAAACACTCGTCGTTCTTCTCCTTTCTGACTGTTGACTCTCATATTCACTCACAAATCCCCTCAATTCCCCTCATCGTGTTCTTTTCCTAGCTCACTCAACTGCGGTATAACCGTCACATTTATTCTCCTGATCCCGTATCTTTCTCCTTCTCTTCCCCCTTCTTTCAGCACGGACATCCACAAACGAGGCACAATCGGAGCCATGTTGCTATAACGGGGTGAAAATGACAATGGATGCTTACTTCAGTACAGTAAGCCATGCCCGTCCCTGCTCCTCTTTCCTTCACACTTCCCACCCGTTGTACCTATTCGACCCAAATGCTCATTTTTTTCCAAAGCATTCTAGCTTGAATTCTTATAATTTGTCTCCTGTCCTTTCTGGCAGATGATGGCAGCTGCACAATTACAACAAGAATCAAAGGAGCTCGATATGGAGGGGCAAAAATACGCCATGGAGATGAACCGTTACAAGAACTACCATGACCAATCTACCGGTACATCAATACCCATTATACTAAAGGCTTTTGCAATCATTGCCCGTGTGGGCATTTTGGCATGCTTTGTGCTCCACGTCCTGTGGCGCAGACAGCAACGTGAATAACCTAGAGCTTATGGATTGTTGCAATATTTATGGGTTTGATTTCATTGATAAACTGATGTCAATCTCTCGTGTCTAAGGGTGCATTCCTGTGGAGACACTTGTGTCTCAACCCCCGTTTTCCCAGATCGCGCCTGTAAATTTGCAAAATGTTGTGTCTCAAACAACCAATGAACCTCGACTCTGAGCGACAGATGGGACCGGCCAGGTGGGCGCTTTCTATTGGTGGCCACCACTTGGATTGACCCCGCTGCTGTTTTCCCGCCGGGCATCCCAGTCCAAAAAAGCGCAACCCGCAACGAATGTCGCGGCGGCTTCTAGCCACGGTGGATGGTGTTGCAAATGGGTCGAGTCGGGCATAACGGAAACACTACACTACACACACAGGCTTGTGTTCAACTACAGCAGCAAACACTGGCACAAGTACAAAACCACCACCCCACTACCAGTCATAATGTGCCTCCCAGTCTAGCATCCATGGCACAGCCTCGCGACGTGCCCTTCCTCATGCGGCTGCTCGTCGCATGGGTCACGTTCTACTACAGCATCTTCATGGACGCCGTCTCCAGATCTGTCGGCGGCTTGCTGGAGGCGAACGTGTTCACCGAGGAAGTATCCTCGGCCTCTAGCTCGCATGGCTCCAACCTCACCGCCGAGCGGAAAAGGCGGTCAGGGCTTCGCCGGCGCAGGTACCAGTTGCTGCTAGAGGACCTGGAAGGCATGGGGGAGGGAGAATTCAGGGATTTATTTCGCATCAAACGCACTACATGCAGCCCTACGTTGACAGATACCTGATCACGCACGAGGTGGCATGCCTTGTGGCTATCAAATACCTGGCCAGCGGCATGACGTTTCGAGACCTGTCGGCAGTCTTCGGCCTGTCCAAGACGCTGTGCCACACGCTGGTAGATGCGCTCCTCATGCACTTCCCGACGGCCTTCAAGCAGCAGTGGGTCCACTTCCCGACCCGTGACGACCTTGATGAGATGGCGGAGGAGTTCCGCGCCATCAAGGGAGTCCCTGCGGTGGTGGGGGCTATAGACGGCACACACATACACATGAAGGGGATGGAGGGGCACAGGCAAGAGTACTACACGCGCAAGTCATGCTACGCCGTGCAGCTGCAGATCACATGCGATGCTCGAGGCATCATTTGGGACTACTTGGTCGGATACCCGGGCAGTGCACACGATCAGAGGGTGTTCATGAAACGCGCGTTACACGAAAGGTTGCACAACGACGACATTGCGCCATACCAAATTGTGGGAGATGCTGCCTACCCACTCAGGGACTTCTGCTTGACCCCCTACATGCACCCCGTGAAGGCCTAATGGATGACTGGGAGCAGTGCTTCAACTACTGCCAAAGCGCTACGCGCATGGCAGTAGAGCGCTGCATCGGCGCATTCAAGGGCCGGTGGCGTCTATTCGCGGGCCGCAATGATTGCGTGCTCTGGCGCATTCTTGCAGGGGCGTCTTGTGGCGTCATCCTGCACAACATGTGTGAAACGATGGGAGCGGTTACGCGCGTAAATGCGTCGTGGGCGAACTTGCCCCGAAACAGAGACCCGTGGTGCGCTCTTGCGCTTACGGGCCATGGCTACGGCTGGGAAGAAGGAACAAGAAACAGGAAGGAGAGAGAGCTGGGGTTTGTAGAACAAGAATGGACTGGGGCAGGGGAGTGCTGTATGCGTAGTTGGAACGGTGTGATGGAAGTCGGGCAGGGATGTGTCATGACGGTCGCATCAACCAGTCATCTGTCTGCCCGGGCAGGGTGTTACGAATAGTGGTTAATGAAAAACACTGTTGCGCACTCCTCACCGTAGCAAAGCCGAAGCACGCACTATCGAGAGTGAAGATGAAAAGGCAGAAGAAAGGCGAAGGGACAGACGGTTACGAGGAGCATCTGGACCGTCGGGTGTGAAAGAACGAGGAATGAATGAACTAGCAAGCAGGTGGGTACAAGTAGGAAAACCTAAAAGTGTTGTACCCCATATTGTCTACCCCACTACAGCCTACACAGACTATAGTATATGAGTTCGACACACCCCCATAGGCAAAGTGGGGGAGAAGAAGAGGTCACAAGACCAATCAAGCAAAGCAAAGCAAGCTCAGGGTGGATCACAACGTCACCACACATTCCAAGCACAAGTTCAAGGCCACAAGGCCAGTTCACATGCAAGATAATATATAAAGGTAAACAAGCAAGTGCAGGTATAGACAGATCACAGTACAAGCAAGGTCAAGAAGTGAGCAAGTGAGGCCAAGTAGGCACAAGACCTAGCATCGTACAGAAGCGCTGATGATCACAAGGCGGAAGTGCCTTGGTAAAGATATCAGCAGTATTGGCCTCAGAGGCCACGTAAGCAAGACGCAGCTGACCACGCTGCTGCACCTCACGAGCCAGGAAGTAGCGAAGAGCAATGTGCTTCGTTCTGTGCTCCAGTCTGTGCTCCCGACACAAGGCCAGCATGGCCTTGTTGTCTACGTACAGAACTGGAGGAGAACGAGGCGGCTCTCCTAGGTCAGACAGCAGGTAGGTGAGCCAGCGTAGCTCCTGTGCAGCCATGGCCCCCGCGTAGATCTCAGCCTCACAGCTAGAGCCGAGAATAGAAGACGAGCGGGTAGACCGCCACGAAACAGAGTCGGGATGTCTGGTGCTTCCGGGTCTCCCTCAGAGGCAATCAGCGTGGATACGAGATGAGACAAAGCAGCAGCAAAACACTGGAACTCCTCCTGCCTGTTCTCAAGGACGTCCGTGCTAAGAGCACACTCACCCCCGACGGATAGAGGACAGACAGACTCAGACTCAGCAACAAGACCAGCAGCGTAGTCTAGACGACAGCGAGCAGCAAAGTCGACAAGCTCAGCAACTAAGGCAGACGCAACAGTGGACTCAAAGGAAGGGTCAGTGACAACAGTAGCCAGGAGACGCGTGACAGTAGGACTGGCAGCACGAAGAGAGTCAGACTCTGGGCCAGCAAGAACAGGAAGAGAGGACTCTGGAGGAGACGGCAACGGGACACGCAGAGGAGCAGTGGAAGGACGCAGTGCCATCTGGTGTGTGCCTGGGACCGCAGGAGGACGCGAACGCGGAGCACGACTACTAGTGCGAGCAGCACGAACAGGCGACGCAGGACGAGACGCAGGCTCACGACGCTCAGCAAGACCTCCAGTAGGACCAGTGTAAGGAGAAGGAGCAGGTAGGGGGGAGGCGGGCTGTAACTAGACCGCGACTGGAGAGGCTGTGGACACTCTAAGGGAGGAGCAGGACCAGTAGAGGGCGAAAGACCAAGAACCTGCTCAAGGAGCGGAACGAAGTACGGCCGCGGCCGCGCAGCGCCTTCATAACCAGCAGGGACAGCACCAGTACCCCCAGCGGCAGCACCAGCGCCAGCAGCACCTCCAGCTCCAACAGCGCCAACTCCAGCACCCTCAGAAGCACCAGCGCCAGCAGCACCACCAGCGCCAACACCCCCAGCAGCTCTAGCTCCAGCAGCTCCATTAGCACCAAATCCAGCAGCTCTAGCAGCACCAACTCCAGCAGGACCGTCAGCTCCAGTACCGCCAGCAGCTCCAGCAGTACCTCCAGCAGGACCAACTCCAGCAGCCCCAGCAGCACCCCCAGTCCCAGCAGCTCCAGTACCGCCAGTACGAGCACCTCCACGACCAGTGGCTCCACTAACTCCAGTGCCGACCCCAGGGTCAGCAGTAATAGCAGCACCTCCAGATCCAGCAGCACGGCTCCAGCACCGGGCAAACCACTCGCGTAGCTCCTGTGGAGAGGGTAGCTCCCACCTCGACGAAGCACCCGAAGGGGCCCCAAACCCAGCACCGCCAGAGGCCACACGAGCAGACCCAGCACCCCCAGGCTCCGCACCCCCAGGCTCAGCACTCCCAGGCTCCACACCCCCAGGCCCAGCACCCCCAGGCTCCGCACCCCCAGGCTCCGCACCCCCAGGCTCAGCACCCCTAGACTCAGCACCCCCAGGCTCAGCACCCGCAGCAGTACCAGAGTCAACAGCTACCTCGACAGGCTCTACGGCGTCTACTTGGGACACACCTGACGGGGCAGGACCCTGAGGGGGGAGGGGGTCTACCGGGGGGGGACCTGGCGCAAGGAAGAGCGGCGGCGGGGGGAGGGGCGCAGTGCGGTAGGGGAAAAGACGGTAGTAAGGCACCGACTCGTCAAAGGTGACGTCCTGGGAGGACAGAACACGGCGCGAGGTGGGGTGGTAAAACTGCCAACCAGGCGCATCAGGGGGGAAGCCAAGGAAGACGCAGGGAACAGCACGGGGGGACAGCTTGTCCGCAGACAAGTCGCGGACAAACGCCCGAGATCCCCAGACACGAAACGCAGACGCATCGCCAACCTTCCCCGTCCACCGCAAGGTGGGGGAGGTCTCTGGCAAGGAGACCCGGGGCTGAAGGTTGATCTGATGTGTTGCGTACTGAACCGCAAACGTCCACAGAAAATGGGGAGCAGCCGCATGGATCATGGACGTACGAGCGACGTCCATGACCATGCCAATGCAGCGCTCAGCAATCCCATTTTGCTGTGGAGAGGCCGGAAGCGTGAAGGTCTGGCGGATGCCCTGTGCACGACAGAAGGCTCCCAGAAGGGCAGAAGAAAACTTTGTCAGAGTGCAGACGCAGAACAGGAAAGTCCGAGCCGAAACTCTCTCTGAGCTGGAGACGAGCTGCGCAGATCCAGTCGATCAACACCTCAGTGACGTCACCCTTGCTGCGCAAGGGGAACACCGTGGTGTAACGCGAGTAGTCGTCAAACACCAATTGGAAGTAAAGCTCGTGACCCTGGCCACAGACGCAGGCGGGGCCCCACACGTCCATGTGAAGAGTCTGAAGCGGAGCCTCTGTCGGAGGAAACTCGGAGGAGTGAGGGGCGGCGCACTGCCGCCCCTCGACACAGGGAACGAAGGTAAGGGCAGGCCTCGGAGGGAGGGGAGGGAGGGACCGGGGGAGACCAGAGACAAGGACACGGGAGGCCATGCCTCGGAGACGAGGCAGGGAGGGGTGACCAAGGCGGTGGTGCCAAAGGAGAGTCTGGTGGGACAGGAGACGACACGAGCAGGGAGCAGACTCAGGACCAGACCTGGACGCTGCAGCAAACATCTGACCTGACGCAGCTACCTGACCAGACTCAGCAACCGGAGGTGACTCAGTAGTCAGTGTGTACAGGTTCGACCCCGGCCGACGGGTAAACGTGGCCAAGTGTCGGCCCATCCGAGCACACGTACAGTGGGTCACCCGCTGACTCGCAGGAGTGAACTGGTCAACCCCCCCATCCTGTAGATCAGCACCACTCACCAAGTTCGTAGAGAACGAGGGGAGGTAGAGACCTGACAGGGTGCCAGAGGGGGCTGCCGGACACGGCAAGACAGTGGAGAAGTGGGCAAGGACAGGACCCCCAGAAGGCTCCGCCAGGGAGACCGCAACTGGCCGACTAAGCGGCGTGAGTGTGGTGCGGTCTCGAAAGAAGGAGCGGGAAGTACCCGAGTCAAGGGTGAAGGTGTGTAAGGCCTGAGCCAACGTGGTACCTGAGAGAGCAGACTCACCAGCACCTGGGGCAGCAGACGCACTAGCACCTAGAGCAGCAGCCTCACCAGCACCTAGAGCAGCAGCCTCTATGCCCGGGTCAGGCGGAACACACAGGTAACAGTCACCCTCATCACTAGTAGGCAATGCATACATGGCAGTGAGGATAGCATCATAGTCAAGAGTATAGATATCTACCCGCAGCCTAAGCAGCTCCACCCAGTCGTGGAGCTCAGCCGCGTCGCCAAACTCCGTACGCCAGGCGTCGCTCAGACGGGCGAAGCAGTGGGATTCTGCGTGACCAAACGTCCCGCAAGGCTGACCAGTCCGAGCACGAGTGCGAATGACGTACGGACAGCGAGCATTACCCCGTGACCCGTCGCGCTGAGCGTACCACTCACGAAGGTGCTGGGGCGAAAGGACCGCGCACGGACGACGCTGCAGCTGCACCTGGCCACTACATGCAGCTGCCGAACTACTCACTCCAAGACGACTCCCACTACGGCCACCCCGACAACCCCAAGTAGGGTAACACTCACGAAGCTGCTGGGGCGTGAGGGACTCACGCGGACGTCGCTGGAGCTGCATCTGGCCACCGCCAGGAGCAGCAGGAGCAGTGGTAGCCGCAGTAGCAGCAGCAGTAGCAATAGCAGTAGTCGCAGCGCGGCCACCCCTATAACCCTCACTAGCGTACCACTCACGAAGCTGTTGGGGGGTGAGGGACTCACGCGGACGGCGCTGGAGCTGCATCTGGCCACGCCAGGAGAAGCAGTAGCAGTAGAAAGAGCAGTAGCAGCAAGAGCAGCAGTAACAGCAGTACGGGCAGGGCAGTGCTCACCAGTGGCGAGAAGGGCAGGCGTACGACGGCGGCAACGGCGAGGCCGCTAC